TGAAAAACAAACAAGAAATAACTTACTTTTTTCATTAACTCAGGCAAGGTTAGTTAGCACACAAACAACTCCATGCTTATGAATATATTTTTCAAATTGAGTAAGGTAATAAATACAAATTTAAGTATCTAAACTGAAGTAAACTGATTCTGAAGATAAAGCCTGCAAAGACAAATAGTATTATGCATATGAGTAGCCTAAGCCTGTAAGATCAGCGCTTAGACAATTATTCGTGTTGTGAAATGCTAGGCAAGTACCACACAAAGCTGGAAATAAAATCAGTCAAATAAAGTTTACTGAATATCAGAACTAAGTGAGACTGATTTTCTGCTGACTCATAACTTGTGAATGATTGTTTCTACTGTCTCAGAAGACATGTGCACCAAAGGCTGAAGTGTACTTACCACTGAGACATTTATATTGTCTCCTTTCCAACCCAGATTCTTTGGTGTCTACTAAAATGTGAGTTTACCTGTTACATTGTCCCCCATCAGAATGCTTCTGCTTTATCTGGCCACCTGTTGTCATGAAACTTGCAAGAGTAACATTTACCAACATTTCTGTTAAGTTTGACCAAACCTGCCAATAGGTTCAAAAGCTAATGGAAGATCAAAAATTGACAGGAAGTACAACTGTTTGAGCATGCCTTCCACAGGAAACATTAAAAACATAAAAACACAGGTTACCGGTTCATCAATGTATTTTATGAATGTGATTCACACTGAGAACAGAACCACTCTGTTAAGTATTTAACCTAAATTTTCCAAATATCTCACAAAATTGAACAGAAAAAGCAGCAGACAGTTATGCTCAGGAACTGCTATGCACACCACAGATGGGAAACTGATCTTCCCCTTCTGACAAACAGCACAGAAAATATTTTATCCCCCATAACTTACATCCTGAATTCTGTACGTGCAATAGTAAGGTGTATACAGGCCTTTCATTATAACACATTTTTATTTCTCAGAACTCTGCAGATGGCCTTGGTTACAAGCAACAGGTTACACAACGAATTTAAATCTGCTCCTCTCTATAGATACACAAAATCATTCAAAAACCCCATGCTAAAAATCATGCTGATCATCTTTAGTCCTGAAGAGGCTCTATGCTGACTTGGATTACTGCTGCTCAAAACTGTGTCTGTGTTAACACCTACAGAAGACAGAGAAGCTCAAGAATATTCTCATCATGCTTTTGCCATTTTTATGTTGTGTTTAGCAGCAAAAACTGGACACAGCTTTGAGTAGGAGCATTCTTTCCCGTCAAACAGCTCATGTGTTTCTCCCAACAGACCTATGACCCTGAGGCCATGCAGATGAGGCCATGCAGGCCCCCATCAATATGTAATATGGCATATTGATATATACTTTCGTAGAATCATAGAACCACAGAAATTTAACCTGAAGGGTTGGAAGGGACCTTCAGAGGTCACCTAGTCCAATCCCCTTGCAATGAGCAGGGAACACATGCCTTCAACACACAAGTATGAGTGTATGGTAAGAACTAATCAGCAGCTCTTGTGGTTTGATTCACCTCTGAGCTGGTTCAGACACTTCAGAGTCAGGATCTGGATCCACCACCTAATGATCCTAATTCCAGAAAATAACTTCTTTGAATATGAAGATATATCACAAGTCAAAAAGTCATTCTTGAGCACTGGAAAAAAATATTTAAAAAATTTGTTCTACAGTTTAGTGCTGGCAAAAGTTCCAGTGCAAAGACATAAATGACTCAACCACAGAAAACAGGCCTCAAAGAAATCACTGCTTAGAGATAGAGTAAATTGAATCTAAAATATCCCTGCAGCATTCTTCTCTTTTTTAAATGTTTTAGATAATTAAACTGGGTACTGGTAGGAAATGTTTCCTAAGGTCTTGTCGCGGTTTAAACCCAGGCAGTAACACGGAACCATACAGCCACTAACCCACCCCAACTTTCCTCCCCCAGATGGAATGGGGAGGAGAATCAAAAGAATGTAAAACCCACAGGCTGAGATAAGAACAGTTTAAGAAGTAAATTATAATATAAAACTACTGCAACTTCTACTAACAATAACGAGAAGAGAAATAACAAGAAAAAAAGAATATAAAAGGGAAAATAAAGTTAAAAAAAAAAGAAAAAAAAACAACAAAAACCGACACAATAAACACCAGTGATGCACACTACACTTGCTCACCATCACTGTCTGACCGATACCAGGCCTGACTCAAGCAGAGATCTGCCCCTCTGGGCAACTCCCCCCTAGTTTATGTGCTAGGCATGACGTGCTGTGGTATGGAATACCCCTTTGGCTAGTTTGGGTCGGGTGTCTCTGCTTCCTCCCCGCTTCCCATGCCCCTCCTCACTGTCAAAGCACTGGAGACTGAAAAGTCCTTGATGGGATAAGCATTACTTAGCACCAACTGAAACATCGGTGTGTTATCAGCACTGTCTCAGACTAAGGCACTGCAGTGCATCATCTACTAGGAAGAAAATTAACCCTATCCCAGCCAAACATTTCTAGCCCAAAGGTGCCTCGACAAAGTGCATTTTTGTTCTCTCCACAATGGATTCAAAACAGTTTATTCCCCTCTTTGCAATGTGACTGTCATGGCCTTTGTGTGTAACAATATGCCAAAGAAAACGCCGAAGAACTCTGTTTCACACCATATCACAGTGTGGCTAAGGTTGGAAGGGACCTCTGCAGGTCACCTGGTCTGACATCCCTGCTGAGGCAGGGCCACCTAGGGCCCACTGACTAGGACCATGTCTAGAGGGCTTCAGCAGATCTCCAAAGATGGAGAGCCCAGTAGATCTGGGTAACCTGTGCCAGTGCCCCATCACCTCACAGTAAAAAAGTGTTTCCTGATATTCAAGGGGGCATCTCATGTTTCAGTTAGTGCTCACTGTGTCTGGTCCTGTCACTGGGAACCACTGGAAAAAACCTGACTATCTTCTTTACACCATCCCTTCAAAATAAGTTTTTACACACGTTGATAAGGTCCTCAAGTGTCCTTGTTATCACTGTTTAACAAGCTTACCACTCAGCAAGAGTATTACTTTATTTTAGTAATTTTAGAAAAGATATCCCTAACATTACAGTTTTCATTTTAGGAAGAAGATACCAAATTAATAGTACATCTTCACAGATTCCTGTGTTGCATTATTCATCATCCACCAGTGCTTTTAAGTCTTGCCAGGGAAAATAATTCGTGAAAAGAGAAGTTGAAATGGCACTTCAATACCAAGTAAGAGCTCATAAACCTGGCTTACTAAAGCTACTAAGCTAGTTTTGTTAGCTTTACGTCTGGGTTTTGGAGTCCTGTCAACTGCCTGACAAATACAGCTATTCAATCCTGAGGATCAATGATTTTCAAAACAATTTGATGGCTCACATGGTGAATTGGATAAGTATCTGCTGAAACACCTTCTAATCATCTTCAAAATTATTATTTGATAAATACAAGTATTTGCAATAGAAGGAAAAGTTGCTTTAAAGAGACTCCAGGCTTTCACTTTCTCAGCGAACTCAAAAGAGGCTTGTACATGGGTTTCCATAAAGGTCAGTTTTCTCTCATGTTTAATATGCATGAGATACACTAAAGGTTATGAACAAAGCACAGAGATGAAACAGTCTCCATCCAGCAGAACCCGTTTGTCACGGTGATCTTTTTTCCACTGTTAAACACCATCTGTAACAGAAATTGTTGTGCACTTTCTGCCTTACGTGTTCAAAAGTTAGCTGTGCTCCCTGAGGCAAATTATAAACCAACAAACAAATATACTCTGTTTTGAATAATCCAAGCCGTATCTTAGAAAAAATACTGCTGCTGGATTATGACAAGGACGCCTTTTAATGGCTACAAGACGTAAGCCTGGTTTAAACTCCAGCATTTAAAACATGAAGCTGCAGCACCAGTAAAACACCAAGAACAATGAATGATCCCTGCCAATGCATGTTGGTGCTCGTGCCTCACATGACTTAAATTACTCGTTTCTTCCCCATCAGAACAGTTTTTAGGCAGATACACCACCTGATCACACACAATACCTGTGTTCCTGGTAGCAAAAAAACTAGCTAGTCTTCTTTTACCAGAACCCAAGCAAGAAGGGGTGGCAGATCACAGGCAGGAGGCACATAAACTTAAGAAAGCAACGCTGGTGTCACGTTTGCGGCAACGTTCCTACCACGTTTGTCTAAACTCACAGCGTTATGTGCAAGAAACACTAGAGTTCAAGTACAGAACTCAGTATTTACCTACAAAAAAAGCCTGGTGCCAAAAATAAAAGTTCATATTCTAGGAACTTAACTGCCGTTTACTAAATCCTGGTAACTTACTACTATGGTTACCGTGCTATTTTGCAGGATAAGAGCGTTTGTAACGTGTTAACGGTGTCCACAAGCACCATACAGCTCTCAACACACCTGCACACCATGCTTATTTTCTGTTTGCACTCTGAGCAAGTACCACCTTAAGTAGCGCAGACGCTACGGCCTTTCAAGTCAGGAGAGCAGGCGTGTTTGTGGAACAGCCGCAGCGCCGCACCTGGACGAACTCACAGAACCTCCCCCGGCCCCGGGGTACGCAGCAGAGGTGCCACCACGGCACACCACATACGTACTTTAAACATGACGCTTTCCTAAACAGGCTGCAGGACACCCCCCCCCCCCCCTCCCCCGCGGTCTCAACCCCCGCCCCCACCGCGCACCAATCCCCCCCAACCTTTCCCCCTTCTCCTCTTAGCCCCTCCCTCCCCGTTGCTCCCCTCCCCGTACACTCTAGAAACTGCTGGAACCGCCCGGCCGCGGCAGGCCAATCACCGCGACCCTGTGCCCCGCCCCTCTCGCCATGGTCATCTCTGACGTAGCGCCCCCTACAGCTTCCGGCCATTGGTGGGCGGGCATTACAGTCACGCGGCGGTTCGACTGGCATGGCGGCGTGACACGCTATTGGCTCTCCCTGCCAATAGGAGTTGAGTAGTTGGATTCAAACGGTAGCGGGGTGGGGAAGGTGGGAGCCTAGTTCTGGTGGTGGCTGTGGGGAGGGTTCGTTCGCTACGCTCTTATTGCCGCAGGTCACTATGGACTCCAATCAAATCTACTATTCCGACAAGTACTCTGACGAACAGTACGAGTACCGGTACGAGGCTGCTGGGGGAATCAGCAACGGGTTCCTGCTGGGCCTTTCGGGGAGGAGGGAGCTTGGGCAGGCGCCTCTCCCGCGGCTTGTGCGACTTTCTCGGGCGTTGCGCGCCGCCGCTGGCGGCAGTGAGCATGGCTTTGGCTGCCGTGGGGTTGGGGGGACTACGGGGAGCGTCCGCGCCTCTCTTCGTGGTGTTTTGTGCACCTTTCTACTAGCTGTGGGAGAGGGTGGTGATGGCCGGCCCTTCCTCGGCCATCCTCTGGTGAGCGGCTCATGCAGGCCCTAGCCAGAAAGTGCTGAAGAGGGCGGCGCTGCCGGCGGTGAGCTCTCGGCTCCTGCCTCCGAGAGCTGGGCAGCGACCCCAGCAGAGCGCCTGGGGTGGCCACAGCCATCCTCTCCGCTGGTGATTTTCGCAGCATGCGCGGCGGACGTGGCCCGCCCTGCGCCGCGTTCAGTGCCATAGGAACTGCAACAGGGAGAACGCACTTAACAGTTAAGGGCACCACGTTGTGCTGTCCCAGTTCGCGCTCTGAATGCGGGTGAAGCACAAGTGTTGATTAAAGCGCCAGCTTCGAAGGTAGTTCGTAAGGCGATGTCAAAACACAGCACTAATAAGTGCAGATTATAAAGCCTTTCAGTCAGCGTTGTAACTGCTAGTATTTAAAGCTGTGTTACACTACCACTCCTGGATTATAACTGGTAACAACAGTATTGTTAAGTCCTCTAGGCACGCTTGAAAGTGCTACTACAAATCAAGTTTTATTTTCCTCTCTGTGGAGGTACAGTTCTTATCAGCTGCCTCTTACAATATCAAAAAAGATTCAAGGCTTTGCTTTCTGTTAAATGAAAAAGAAACTGCAAATGTGGAAAGCATTTGTAAGTTACTCCTCAGCTGAGACATGAGGTGACTAAGTGATGTTCATGTTCTTCCCAAACCAGCACTGTAGTGTCTGTGGAAAATACACCGTTCGTTCCAAAATGCAAAATACAAGCAAGAATGACTTTATCAATCATTCTCAAAGTTCAAAGGCCTTATTTTTGAAATAGACCTAGCCAGTTACCAGGAACATATACGTGTAGCATGATTTAGGAGCTAGGCTGACTGTTTCAATACACAGTTGCATTACAGATGTAATGTTTAGTAGACAAAGGGGTTTTAAAACTGGGTTTTGGGACAGGTGCTTCATAATCAAATTAGTGGTATACTGAGAACATGGGTATTCATAACTTGCTTACTGTCTTAGTGTGTAGATCTGTGCAAGTTTTCTAGCGTATGCAGGCATTACTGTATATTGCGTGTGTGTAATAATTAAATCTTTACAGACATGTAGTGCTGCCCAGAGAACTTTCAAAGCAAGTGCCAAAATCCCATCTGATGTCTGAAGAGGAGTGGAGACGACTTGGTGTTCAGCAGAGTCTTGGCTGGGTTCACTATATGATCCATGAGCCAGGTAAGCGCATCTGAGCAGAACTACATGAGCAAAAATGTCTAAAATGTCAACTGCCTGGTGCTCAGCTGAAGTGTGTAGTGCATAATTTCTCCTCCTATGGAAACCAGCTGGAATTCACTCCTCTTATCTCCTTGCTATTTTAGCCTTTTGTCCACAAAGGCAACATAACACCCTTTATTTTAAGCCTTCACATCTCCCTCACAGAACTGTAAAATGCCAACCTTGTCCTGGGTATGAGGACATACATGTAGACAAAACATGCCAGACTGGAAACTGTTCTTACCTCTGCCTACTGAAGTAGGTTTCTTGTGAGCTCCTGATTAATACCAGTAGCTTGTTGACTGAAGCAGATTTTATACACACCATATCTTTAAAGCAAAAATCTGACATACCTACTTTTTATGCAAAAACTTAATAGATACTCAGGTAGACAATGTCCAGAAATCTCTGCGGTACAGTTTGAACTGTAGTTTCAGAGCCTACTAAAAGCAGCACGTAAAAGCAGTTTCTCAATTATTGGAGTGTGAAGCCCTAAAACTCTACCAGATAAGATGAAAACAGCCATTCAAGGTAACTTACCCTTGACAAGCCTGACTAAAAGGTAACTGGTGATGTGTGAATTCCAGCAATGTGAAGTTTCAAGAAGAAATTAATGTAACCTTCCAGTGTTTCCCTTACCTGAGCACATTTGACATGTTAGGCTTTTAGGAAGAGTTTACAATTAAGTAAGGTTAATAATGTAAAATGGCTGTATTAACTGAAGTAGTTTTTGTTGATGCTTGACACTACAGTTTCCTAATATAAGTTAAAGTAACAGAGTTTGGCAAGTAGAGTACTGTGGAGAGACAGTTAATAACAATACTAACTAAAAAATAGGGGTTTTTCTGTATTTTTCCAGTACTTGCTTCCTGCAAGTGTCTTCAGTTTACGATGGTAACAACATCTGGTATAAAACTTTCAAAAGCACTGGTTTGACTGTTGTAAGGTTACTGAAAAGTTGTTCTGTTGATACTACACATGGGGCCATATTTGTGGGCTTCTCGATCTGTTTGTTACTGAAAGTGAACTTCAACCATTGTTCAAGACTTACTAAATGGAAGAAATTCCTGTAATCAAGTCTTAGGGGGCAGACTGACACTGTTTAATTTTATTTCTGCAGAACCGCATATTCTCCTCTTCAGAAGACCTCTTGCGAAAAATAAGCAGAAATGAACCACTATCCATAAATCATCTCCTGGAATTATGTATATGAGTGTATATATGTTGGTAGGATTCAGTGAATAATTTAAAATGTACAAAACATACCTGTGGATGAACTGTATTAATCACAATAACAAAAGCTCAGTTGAGTGAAATGCCAAGTAGGCTGCTATGGTGATCAAAGGGTGAAGTATTCAACTACTAAATCTAAGTGCCTGTCTGACCTTTTCATAAGTTGTCTGACTAAATTGTCACTTGTTCTGTGTTCAATGTTTGCAACTCAGCTTTTATGCTGAAGCATACCGTGTTAAAATCTGATGAATTTAGAAATAAACTATTTTTAATGCTCTAAACTTAGAAATTAAATATTTTGATGCTCTAAACCCTAAGTGCCTAGAGTTTTGATTCATCAGACAAAAATACTCATTGTCTAACATATTAAGACAGAAGCTTATTACCATTTACTTCAGAAAAAAAAAAATAACCCAGTTAACTTGTTTTGTTTCTCTGCAAGAATTATTTTGTCCAAGAAGCCGAAGTTCCTAAACCTGATTCAAACTGAGAACTGCCAGCAATCTGGAAAGATTGCTGATCTGGTAATGCTCAGAGTGACTTACAATGTACTCAAGTTATGGGATGCTGTAGTTGATACATGTTATAGTGGTATTATTCCGCAATGACTACTTGTCGTCCTGCTTCTCTGGAGGTGTCTACTGATATGACAAAAGGAAATGGCTTAATAATGCATCTGTAGAAGTTCAGAAGTTATTCACAGAAAGGGTGGTCAAGCATTGGAATAAGGCCTCAGGGAAATGCAGCCTGAGCCTGTTAGTGTTTCACCTGTGTTTGGACAAATCCCTCAAAGATATGACTTTAACTTTGGGATTATGCTGTATGGAGTCAGGAACTGGCCTTGATCCTTGTATGTCCCTTTCAATGCAGAATGTTCAGGGATGACTTGGTATAAACTTGTCTTAAGGTATTAAATAGTGCTTAATATTTTGTAAAGATATTCTTATTATGCTGGTTTGATTTACTTTTGTATTACCAGTTTATCTTTCTGCTGCAAACTTTTTAGTCTAGGCTTTTAGCCTGCACTTTCTGTTTTGCATCCTTAGGCAGTAGTGGCTTAGTGTCAAAGTGAACTGAATGCTTTTCACAAAAGCAGCTGCTGGTTATAGGATAGTATGAGCTCAGTGCTAGCAAGAGTCTGATCAGTTCTGTTTTAGGAAGTGACGTGCCAGCAAAGTTGAGCTGCCGGAGGGACTCTATCTGATGTGCACTAAATTGGTTCGAAAACAGTCACTGTGGCATCCTGGGACCCTGTACTAACAGCTGTACAACCAGATTTTCAAATAAGGTGTTCTGGTGTATTTGGTGGTAGAGTAAGCGGTACCAGTGGCTGTGTCTGCTTTGTTTCAAATACAAGCTGGTATCATGGCTCCACAGGATCTGTAAGGCCAAGAAAACCAGAAACCATCTGCTTCTAGCTTAACTGATGAAGTACATGCTCAATCTGTGTAATGTGTGCTTGAAATTAAGGTTGTTAAAGATAGAGGTAAAGATAGAGGTAAGTAACCTGCCAAATTTGGTGAAGGAAATAACCTTTGTGGTCTTCCTTCTAAAGCTGTCTGTTAGCTTGGTGGTGGTTAAATGGTCTGTAATAGGCTCTTGGTACTGAAGTGTGACTTTACAGTCTTACCCCATGGAGTGGAGCTTTCCAGGGGCTGAGCAGACACCGTAGCTGGAGAAACCGTCAGTAAGAACCGTGCTGAGCTGTGCTTTGCCAGTCTTCCCCAAGGCTTTGGCACCAGAGCCCTTCGTATTGTCTCTTCATCTCCCACTGCTACTGGTTGTCCCTTAAACCTGATCTGTTACTTGTTAAGTGCCTGCTTTTTATGCCCTCCTGCCCCTTCTCTTGGTGACAAAGCCCGGCTGCATGTTGCGGTAGGGCTGTTCGGACAGCACCAAGCCTGTTGGAGCCCTGCGTGTTTCCCCCACTGTCGCTGGGCCGCTCGCCGGTTCCTCGTGTCACATCCAAGCGCTTTGTTGGGCCGCAGGCCCCGCCTCTTTTCTCCGAAAACCCAGCTCGCCCTCGTCCTGCCGCCTGGGCAGCGGGGCGGGACCGATCTGCTGCCAACCTTCTCAGTGGATACGTCATCGCAGCGCGCCGCTGCGCGGAGAGCGGGTCGGTCGCGGAAGGGGCAGAGGGCCGAGCTGGAGGCGGGGGCCGCGCCGCGCAATGTCCGCGGAGAGGCGGACGCGCCCGGGCCCGAGTGGCGAGGTAAGGCGGCGGCGGCGGCGGCTCCTCGCACGCTCCAGCTCCTCTTAGGCCGTTGCGAAACGGAGGTGTGGAGCCGCCGCCTCCGCCCATCATGGGATCCGGAGGCTGCCTGCCTCGGTCCGTAGCGGCCCCGGGTTCCGAGGCGAGCTGCACCACCGCTGTCACTGGCCGAAGGGCCGGAGGAGTGGGGCGGGTGACTTGCACCGCGCCTGCAGTCAGCATGTAGTTCCGGGCGGGGGAGAAGGGGCATTTTGGGAGGGCAGAACGGGGCGAGGGAAGCCGGAGCTGATGAACGGCGCGTCACTGCCCACTGCTTGGGCGGGTGTGTGTGTGTGAACCCCAGGCACCGCTTCCAATGAGCGTGAGTATGAAGCCCGTTCCTTGCTCAGAGAGGGGGGAGCCAGCTGGAAGGACACACACACCCCCGTTAATAAAGATGGGTGCACAAATTCTAACCAGTAGCAGGGGCGTTGCAACACACATGGCCTGGTCAGGATTGGGAGTTTGCTAAGTAGTTACCCTGCAGTCACAGTTGATTCCTGCGTGTGTGTTTCGTGAATAAAGAACCCTCAACCGTTGCTCACTAATGCTTTAACTGCTTCCTGAGCTTATGCTGTTCATGTATATGTGTACTCAGCTGTGCCAACTTCACGTTTTATTTGTCACTGTTACTAATGGATGTTCTTTGTATATTTGGATGTGCCTGGTAAATTCAAAACCATAAAAGTTTGTAGTTAGTTGTAATTTATGTTAGGCTGTCAGAGGTCTTTAATCGTTTATCATACAAGTGACTGCTGAACCAGCAGAGGATGCAGGGAGTCCAGTTCATATGTTCAAGCACTGAATTACCTTCCAAATGATTTTAAAAGCCTTGTGCATTGTTCAGTTACTGAATCGTTGCTTGCACAAGTGAAAAGAATCCCAGGGTTCATGTAGCATGGCAGTTACCCCAAAATACACAATCAGCTAGGGAAATGACTTGTGTCATGTATTAGGGTGATTAAAGCTGTGTAATGTAATGGCAGTAAATACCGAGTCTCATTTCAGTGTCCACCTTCCACATATACATGTCTAGTTTTACCAGTGGTGATTCAGAACAGATGGAAAGTACATCTTAAGGCTATGTAATGAAGTATTAATTTTGGACAGGCTACCTTAAAGTACATATGTACTCAAAGGCGTTATTTTTACCTCTTTCCAGAGTTTGATTTTACAGTAGTGCTACTGTATTTATGAATTGTAGCTTATCTTGTTCAAATCTAAAGTAAGAATTCATTTATTAGCAATTACTGCATCTCTGAATAAGTAAACCTTTGTTCTTTCCATAACTGACGTTAGTGCATATTTCATGTTAAATGTATTAAAGAAAATAACTTTCCAGAGCAGTCATGGTTCTAGAATTCATTAGTTTTGTTTCTCTTTCTGTTTCCTTTGGTGAGCTTTATTGTTTTGCATGTTTTGTTAGATGAGAGCAAACTAATGCTTTCCTATAACAGTTAAGCTCACAAGGTTGAGTATTTTTCACTTAACAACATTAATCTTCAGATGCATGTAGCCAAAAACCATTTTGTTTCTCAGGGCATCAAGTTGTCATCAGAAGTCAAACTAGTTGTTCCAAAACACGCGGAGGCAACTGTGGCGTGGTCAGAACCCTCAGAAGCATGTGCCTTTCCTAGGTACTTAACTACATGCTACCCTCTTGTTCGGGAACCATCTTTGGATAAGTATGTGTATGTCATGATTCTTATTTCTTTGGGGATTTTAATCTTCTTGTTTTGGACATAGAATATTTTTATAACGTCAAGGCTTTCATGCCTTAATATTCTAACTGTAGAAACACTTCTGCATTGCCTTAATGCTTTAGGTTTTTGCAGTTGTATTCTGGTGTATATCTGGTAATTTGTTTGTACTTTAGAAAGACCTGAATCCAGTCCTTGGATGATTGTGTTATGACAAGGCTGGGGTAAATATAGTCATATAAAAGGAAGAGAAAGATCCTCTGAGAAGGTTTCTTATGCTGTAGAACATTTTAATGATGCATGGGGCTCCTCCTGGATCTCTGCTTCACAACCCATGCATCCTCAGAAAGTCAGTTTTAGTAAAAATGCTGCAAGTTTCTCAACGGCTTTTTGTCCAATGAGGCCTGGAAAAAGAAAGCATTCATGGTAGACTTACAAAAGTATTAATCACAGAGCAAGCTAGAAGACAGCCTATACATCAGGATAGGAAATAATCAAGTCCTGTAAGAATCTTGATGTTACATAGTTCTCTGGGTGCTTCTCAGCTTCTCAGAACTTTTAAGCACTGAATTAATTTTGCAGTTTCTGCAAAGTTATTTGCTGCATTATAACAAGTTAGGTTAGAGCCTTAGTGAACACCTTCATTTTTTGTAGTCCTTTATTTTATTCTACATGAAATCTAAGTATTTTCAACTCATTTTGTTTTGCAATAGAAATTTAACACTGAAGTTTGGCCTGACCTGTGCATTACAAAAACTACAGCTTTAGCATTAAATTAATTAGCATTAAAAAACCACCAGCAGACAGCAGCAATGTTCTGATGAATGTTTTCTGTTGTTGGAACTGAGCAATAGTTGTTTTTTTTGATTCTTCATTTGTTACTTTTCTTCTCTGTGTGTGAACTATGATTGTAAGAATTGCAGCAAGCAGTAAGAAATGTGTTATCTGAAGCCTCTTGTTTTCTGTTTTTCATTATTTACCAAAGATTCAGAGGTTGACACCGTTCATGGTGAACAGGTTTAAAAACTAAATACAGCTTTCTTAAGCTGAGGAATTTCCTTTTTTCACTAATCAAATTTAGATCTTGGCATATAGTTTCTGTCCAAACTGTGGGATGAAATTGGAAGGGAATGTTGAGTATACATTTGAAGGAAAAAGGCATGCCCCAGGCACATGTTTTTGTAAACTGTGATGGTTAAATGCAGGTCAGTTAATGATTATCTTGTAATTCTGTACTGTAGTTCATGTATTCTTGATCTTGAGCCCATGTCTTATACCCTATAAGATGCTATACTCCTACTTTGTTATAACAGCGTTATAAGACAGGTCTTAATGCTTGCATTGTTGTAGTCAAGTATGTAATGCATGTCGTGTAGTTTGACGGTGGTTTTGGGTTGTTCCACAAGAAAAAGCCTGCTGAAAGAAGGTACAAATAATCTTGATAACCTTAAACAGAAATGAGGACTGTAACTGCAAAGCAGACTAGCTTTGAAACTTGGAGACGGATAAAACATCTGTGTTTTAAAATAGTTGCTAAACTGCATGTTTGCCCAAATCAAAATTAATTATTTTTAATGCAGTCCACAGCATTGACTGAATACTTAATTGAAGTAACATGGAATAGTTTTCTTCTGAAATATACCTTTCTTGTTAAACAAATTTTTCAGCCATGGAATGATATGTTTATTTAGGCAAAAAGTATATGCTGAAGTTGTGCCCTGGAATGACTTCTGGTCTCTTAATGTTTATCATATAGTATTCTGGGAGATCCTGCCTTCCGTGAATACTCCAGCTGCTCTTACTCACCTGATGTTGTTGCAAATGCGTATCCAGTAGCTGGCTCACAGTATCTCTGTAACAACTCAACACATTCTAATGGTTCAGGAATAGTCAGTGAATCAGCTGAGCAAACGTATCTAATCAGAAAAGAGAGTAAGACTCATTCAAAGGTGAGCAAATACTTTTTTTTTTAATTAAAACTAAATTCTTATTTTAAATCAGTCTTTCTAAATGTTTGGTTTGTTTTTTAAAGCTAATAATCACTCTCTGTTCTTGTGATAATGTATGTCATTTCAAGAGGATGGTAGTAATGTGCCCAGTCACACTTAAAAAAAAAGCTTATGGAATGCCACTTTTTTTTTTTAAGCATTAGTTTTCGAACATGAGGGGAATTTAATCCTCTTTCTTCAGAGAGCAGCTTCAAGGTAGGAACCAAAAAAAAAAAAACAAACCACAAAAACCAAACCATTCACTACTTCCAGTTTTTGACCTCTTTTTTTTTTTTTTTTTTTTTTTTTTTTTTTTGACTATTTGGGCCTAAGGGGGTGAGTGGAAGGGCTTTTTTTTTTAAGCCCAGTGGCAGCTTCCATGAACCTGAGTTGAGAGACCTGGTGGCTGTAATCAGCTGTGTGGCTGATTAGTGATGAGACCAAATCTGTCACTGAAGGATTTCCAAGAGCTGCTACAGGTAGAAAACAGTCCACAGGAAAGTACGGACTTGTGTTGGTATGGTGAGGGAAGAAAGGTTCATGTTAGAAATACTCTTTCAATCAAAAGTAAAACAGGTGCTCAGTAAAAATGACATTTTTTGTGTGTGCCTGTTTGGGGATAAATTTCATGAAACTTGGATAATATTTTCAAACAAAAATGTAGACAAACTCCTTGAAATACAAAAAACAAACGAAAAAATCTGAATGTAATTAACCCATCTCCCTCTGTGGTTAGACATTGTGTCTCTTGGATTTGAAAGGCTGTTGTTGTTTCCAACAGGTTCAAGTAATCTGTTCTTCAGTCACATCCCTCTGGTGGACTTTACTCGCTAGTCAGAGACCTGGTAACTTCACTGTGGTCAAGCATGTATAAGGGAAGTTGCAAGATTAGGTCCTAAGCATGTATTACTAGACATAACATACAAAGGCTATAGACGTCAAATCAGTAGTTTTCTTGCTGAGAGAAAACTTAAACACTGAAGCTGTCTGGGGAGATAGCTAGCTCAGCATTAGCACAGGTGATATAATATGAAGAAATTTAGTTTAGCTACTAGGAGTTCTGCAGTTTCTGTAGGAGCTTGGAACACACTATGTACCATTTGACTGTCTTTTTGCCATTGTTCCCTGTTTTGGTTTGAGGTTTTTGGGGTTATTGGTTAGTTTTTTTTGGGGTGGGGCCCCCCCCGTGAGCTTGAAGAGAAATGTTTGGTCTTTGCAGCTTTGCATTAATTTGATCACATCTCCTAAAGCTGTAACAGTTTAGCTTTGGAGGCCAGGAAATGCCTTGTACTGCCACCCAAGAAAATTATGTTGCTGCCAGGTGTACTTTGAATTTAGTCCAGCATCCTGTGATCAGAAAGAGTTAAGCCACTCACCTAGGTTGATACAGTATACTTTGCAGAGATGCAAGCCAAGTGATCGTTCCTTGCCTGAGGTAATAGTTCCTGAGCCAGCTCTGCCAGACTTTCTTGTGAGAATCACAAGACTTTCAGGACTTCACAGTGTAGGTGAATGTGTTTCTTTTACTGCGATTAAATAGTCGTATCTTTTCTAATTACTTCATCTACGCTGATTGTTTTGGATATTGTGACATCAGTCTTGCCTAGTTTTGCCTTTAATATGTAGTTTAGTTAAAAGATTTGAATGCTTTTGAGATTTTTGCCCTGTTCCTAAAGAAGCTGTTTTAGAACATCAGTCTGGGTGATTTAAGACCAAACAATTGTAAACTAGTGGAAATGCTGAGATCTTAAAAATACAGTTGTCTAGATACATAAGGAGTAATCAATCCCTCTTGTTTGGGCTATAATATGTGCTAAAAATGGCACAGTTAACAAGATAGAAATAAATAACAAATCTCTAACTGGCTGTTCCTGGTTATTTGTGGTTATGGTATACTAACTGTGTTGTATTAACTTGGTGGTCAGGCTCCACATGTAAAGGTCATTAACTGTAACCCAAGGCAAACTTGATGACTTTACAAAGTTCAAATAAAATCAGCTAAATATGTCACAAATACTTGCAGCAGATGAGACCAAAAGAGAGTGAGAAAAGAACAGACAAGAAAAGGCATGATGGAGATGAGTCTTCTGTCAGAAATGCGAACAAGACATCGTACCAGACCTCTGCATGCAGCAGGGATCCCATGAAGCCAGGTATGAGTGTACTGTTTGGTTAGAAATATATCAGATGGACGTGAAATGGTTGACTGTGATGTAGCCTCCAGTTTATGACCATGTTTCTAAATCTAGAATAGTTAAGAAGCAGGATTTCTTTCCTGTGTGACTTCTTGACAAGGGACGGTGACTTACATCTTTTTGCTGATTGAACAAATTTGTGTAAACTGGTATGAAAGTTTTCCTGAGCAGGCATCTGAATTTACAGTTGCTTGTTGAGTAGGTGGTGTTTATACCCATTGGTTATAATACAGATAATATAATAAGATATACACCGTATCTTGAAATGATCACCAGCAGGTTTAATTACTGAGACTTTACATGCTTTTTTCAGACAAGTTCAATAACACTACAAACAAGAAATCAACTCAGACTCCAAAAACAGAGTCTCTTCCTGTACCTGCCTTTGAAACTGCCATCCTGGATTTCCACAAGTCACAGAGTTTGGAAAGCAATGAGAATGCACAGCATAGGAGTGGACGCGTGTGTTCAGCGGGAACTAATATTTCGTGCCTTAGTCAACCACAGGTGTCTTTTTGGTTGAACACACAGGTTAGCTGATACTTTCATGTTGCAGAACTCATAAAAATAACTCGCCTAAAATTCAAGCATTTCTGAATGCAAGTAGTTTGAATTCAGTGTGGTAGTTTAAGCACCATGCAAGCAAGGAAGTTCAGAGTTAGAGATTTTACAGTTCTTTTTGTGGGTTCTATTAGTGCTTGCTTTTTCCTTTTTCTCAGTATTTTTCTGTTGTCTGTACTGCCAGTAGATAGGGGAAAGCCAAGTACTGTTAAAATTTAGATTGGTACTTCTATGGTCTAGACTTCTGGCTTGCCTGTATGGAACATATGTGTTCCTGAGGTTTCTTAACAGCTTCTTGTTTTCTCTCTTACCTGGAAAAAAAATAGGTAAGGAGTCACTTATCCAATAGTTTTAACAGATAAAAACAATGTAATTGCTTTGTGCTAAAAGATAAAAATAAGAAACAGAACTCCAGAAGGAGGGAAAAAAAAGTAAGCATTTAATTTTATTCTTTTTTATTTCCTTTGATTCTCTATTTGTTAGTAAATACAATACTGACACATTTAGCAGCATGTCATATACACTGAATCAGTTTTCAACAGTGATTAAAAATGAATAATCTCGAAAGATCCAAACAGCATATTATTTCCTGTGCCTTGAGTGGAAAACTGCCTGTGATGAAAAAAAAGATCTTGCTGCTGTCAGTTGTGTTTCCTTTTACATTACTACTTTGAGTGCAGTGATGGACTTTGTTTTTAAGGTATTTGGAACATTAAAACTTCATTTTGTTAGTTCTTAGAATAATTGTTTGGGTGCTTTTGTAAAATGTAAGAAGTGATCATCCTGCTTTTACAGCATTGGAGAGGCATTTGATTATGTTTTATAGGGCTGTAGGGTTGAAATGATGGGTTCACTCAGAAAAGTAACAACAAAAGCCAGGCTACAGAATCCCCTACACCTTTATCTGCACAGGTTGAGGATTTTTTTTTTTATTTGGGGGGGGCGGGGGTGTATGTTTAGCACTGTTTAGGGCAGTGATGTTTATACTACTTTTCTTATAGCTGGATGTCGTATTTTACAGAGTGATTCCTCTGCAGAAAGCAAAGCTTCAACAAAAACTTCAGATGAAACAGTAGCCAGCTTAATTCCCTCTTCATTTGATGGTAGAGGTAAGCGCTCCAAACACAAATTATTTGCCTATATTTTAACTGCTTGCATTTCATCAGTTTGAAAAGCTAAAGTGTTCTGAAGAGCTGTTGGTGTGTAACATGAAAAAGGAATTAAACAGCAAACTCATTACAGAAAAAAAAGCCTGAAGGAATGAAGTTGCTTTCAAATGTGATGAGTGCTTATTGCTCATTCTTGCTCACAGATTTCATCAGCAGATTAAAATGGATTACAGACTCATAGAATCGTTTAAGTTGGAAAAGACATTTAAGATCATTGATTCCAACCCTTAATCTGTCACTGCCATGTCCACCAAAACCGTGTCCCTAAACGCCACTTCCGTGCATCGTTCAAGTAGGTCCAGAGACAGGAATTCAACCACTTCCCTTGGCATCCTCGCCCAGTGCTTCACAGTTCTTTTGGTGTAGAATTTTTTCCTAATACCCTATCTAAACCTTGCCTGGAGCTGCTTGAGGCCATTTCCTCCTGTCCTATTGCTTGTTACTTGGGAAAAGAGACTAACACCCACCGTGGTACAACCTCCTTTCACGTAGTCATAGAGAGTGATAAGCCTCCCCTTAAGCCTCTGTTTCTCCAGATTAAACAGCCCCAGTTCCCTTAGCTGCTCCTTACAGGATCCTTCTCCAGCTTTGTTGCCCTTCTCTGGACATGCTCCAGCACCTCAGTGTCTTTCTTATAGTGAGGGGCCCTGAACTGAATACAGTGTTAAAGGTGCAGCGAGTACAGAGGGATGATCATTTCCCTGGCCCTGCTGGCTACCCTATTTGTTTTTGACTGCCTGGACACAAGCAGGCTCTTGTTGAGGCACTGCTGACCAACACTCACAGGTCCTTTTTCACCAGGCAACTTTCCACTCTTCCCCAAGCCTGTAGTGTTTTATGGGTTGTTGTGACCCAAGTCCTGGACCCAGTGGTGAGCCTTGTTGAACTTTATTATGCCATTGGCCTTTGCCTATCAATCCAGCCTGTCCAGATCCTTCTGTAGAGCCTTCCTGTCCTCAAGCAGATCAATACTGCTGTTTAACTTTGTCATCTGCAGACTTACTGAGAGTACACTCGATTATCTTGTCCACATCATCAACAAAGATACTAAACAGGACTGGCCCCAGTACTGAGTACTCTTGTGTCATTGTTGCCCAAGGGCAAGTGTTGCTGTAGTTGTCACCCATGTTGTGTAAGAGGAGATAAAGTAATGCATATTGATTATTGGAAGTCTGTTGAATTTGGAGAATCATTAGGGTTGGAAGGGACCTCTGGAGATATCTAGTCTGACACACCTGCCAAGATTATTTTTTTTCCCTAGAGTAAATGAGAGGTAAATAGTTGATTAGTCTAGATAAGCAGATTTGTTTTAATACCTGGCAGTCTGGAGTCTAGTATGTACCCCAGAATTACTCTGTGGCATATGTTATTTCTGTCAGGTTTTTTAAACTAAGAAGTGTAGCTGTGGAGAAACATGCTGAAATGCCCCCTTTTTATTTACCTGTTGTCTGGCTATGGGGATGCAGAACTTGGTTTTGTTTATTGTTGCTGGGTTTATTTTAATAAACTGCAACACATTAACAAGTGGCTAGTTTCAAGTAAATATTTAAATTTAATTGAAACCCTTAAATCCAGAATTATGTGGTAATAGGTTTTGTTCAGTAGGGCTCTGTCTTGGAGGTATAACATGCATTATGCATTGAATTGTCTTAAGTGCCTCTCACTAGATTTCTCTGTGTGTACACAGACATGCACCAGTCTGGACAGTTCAGTCCTCATCTTCCCACGGACTTTCAGTAAGGATTCAGAAAGGCCAGCTTAATCTGCCAAAGTGTTTTGAAGGGCCCTCTAAAGATAAAGTTATTCCAGAAACATTAAAGTCATCTGATAATGTTTTTCTTCTAACACTATCCTCAGTTCCTGTCCCCCATAATAAGTAAAAGTTTGTCGTGGGTTGGCCTTAGCTGGCAACCAGACTCAGCCAGCCGCTGTCTTCCTTAACAGGACAGGAGAAAATGAGAGAAAAAAGCTTGTGGTTCAAGATAAGGACAGGGAGATTGCTCACCAGTCACTCATCACAGGCAAAGCAGACTTGACAAAGATTTATTTGTTGCCAATTAAAAACAGGGTCAGATGGTGACACAAAAAGCAAACCCCAAACTAAAACCACTTTATTCGCACCCTCTCTTCTTCAGGCTCATCTTCATTCCTTCATTGCTGCCTCTTCTGCCTCTTCGTTGCCCTGAGTGGCCCAGTGGGATGGGAGTTGCAATCAGCTCCTAACAGCTTCTCTCAGCAGAGAGAGGCAGCAGCTCCTTCGTCTGCGGGGGCACAGCGTGTCTCACCATGGTCTTCTTCATGGGCTGCAGGAGCATCTCCTCCCCCATACTTCTTCACTAGCCTTGCTGTCTCACCATTTTTCCTATCTCTCCTCTCGCAACTCCTGCACAGTGTTTTTACTCTTTTGTAAATACATTATCTCAGAGCTGCCACCAGCATTCCTGGTTGGCTCAGCTGTGTCTGGCATCGGATCTGTTTTGAAGCCAGCTGGGGCTGGCAGAGTCCATTGTTTGACAGAGGCCACCCCTGCAGCATCCTCCTACTACCAGGACCTTGCCATTTAAACCCATTACACAATTCAGTTTTTCACTGAAATGCTTTTCTCATTCTTAAAGAAAAAAAATAGATTTTGTTTTGTATTTGCTGTGTGATAGAAATAGTTACAGAATTAACTGTGAGTTCTTTGAAAACGTTGATACCCCTGAGTGATGGTGGATTATGTTCTTGTACACTGAGGCAAATTAGGAAGTTTTTCACCTAGTACAAATGTCTAAAACTGGAGTTTTTAGAAAGTAGAAATTACTGATGTGGACTTATATGTGAAAGCTGCGTGAGATAAATATTGAAGGAATTTTATGTATAAATATAGCAGATGTTCATTATTTTAAAGAAAAATACTTAGAAAATGAACATGGAATTACTTGTATGTGATCACTGTGATTTACAATTACAGTTTGGTACGGCTAAATGTATGTATATAGTGCTGGGCCATATATGGGGTGGTTACAATTCTAGAAAGCTTTCTGGAGAAAAGAAATGTGTGAGTGTCTTATTTCAGTCCTTCCTTAGAAGGAATATGGTGCTCTGCTGTATTTGCTAGTTCTTGATTAATGCTTGATCCTTTTTTCTTTTGAATATTTGAGAAATATTTTTGAGACATCTTTGTATTTTTTCCTAATGGCATTTCCTGAAACACCTGCAGATGGCTCTGCTCAGCCATATGTGTCTTGGGCCATGGTGCTTTCACAGCCCCCGAAGAAAATTGTGTCATCACCAGTACCTGAAGGTCTTTCCAGAGGCAAAGGCAAGCAGGATAGTAAAATGAAGGTACTTGAGAACTGTCTGCTCTAAACCAATTTCTGTCACTGCGTGATTGTGTCTCTTGATGTGAGACATTGCCATTGTTTTCCTAGGCTCTGTACAGTGCCTACTTCTAATGTAGCTTTTCAAGAAGTAATATAAAGTTACCTTGTCCTTATTAGCATTTTTCTTTGCTTGTAGTGGAAAAGAATAACAAGATGTCAAAAAGACAGTGCTACTCCAGCAACCTGAACTTTCAGCTTTTAGGCTGGACTTTTTTCAGATTCCTTTCCCTCAGAATGAGACATGAAACATGAAACTCTTGCCTTATTTGGATGGATATTTCCTAGTGAAATCCCAGTAGACCCAATATAGTTTGATAACTGTGCAGTATGCTTCAAATGAAGATTTTATTTTTTTTTCCCAGTAGCTCTAAATTTCTAAGGGATCTTGAATTTTCCTGTTTGCTTAATGTCCTAGCCTGGATTGATTAAGATACCCTTTAGCTGTGTGAGTGTGATCATTTGCATTTATTTTGGTAGGTGGTACTGAAATAAATCAATTTCTAACGATCATACCTTGTGATTTTTTTTCCCAGGAGTCAGAAACAAAAAATGACGCTAGTGAAACTGAGCTTGAAGAAGGGTCAGAAAAGAAGAAAAAAAAGAAGAAAAAGAAGAAAAAAACAAAGTCGCCCACTGATGTGGAGAAACCTCAAAATGAATCTGTTATAATACAGGAACCGCCAAGGATTGAGGTACGGTGAAGAGATCTTTGTTGTTGTATTTTTAAGTTGCATAAATGTATTAGAAGACCAGGTGTTCACACAGCTTTGTACAAATTTAAGTTCAAATCCCATTTGTAGAGGGTATTGGTTGAAGTCCATTTCAGTTGAGGTGATCGTCAGAAGTTACTGGTAAGGAATTGTTGTGCCTTTTGACTTATTACATGTTCAGCAAGCATCGAGGAGTACAAAAGTCTTAGGATTAAATTTGGAGTGATGCATCTGAAAGTCTACATGTTAACAAGTTACAATAAAAGTCCAATTTCCTAAATTACAAGCATTCTGTAGTAAATGTTGCAGAAAGCAAAGTGCACAGGGGATGGAGAACATAGTGGGTGCCATAGTGGGACACAGTTTTAAAGAATGTGTTACTGGTATTACAATTCTACCTGTATCACATTTGGAAGCAATTTCTATGTAACACAGTTGTCATTGCTTCCATTCCTGGTTATTAATTCCGTTTTTTTTTCTAAATGAATATATGCCTATTAGTATTTTGATACTTTCGTGTATAAGTGGTTTGACACTCCCACATTAGAGAATAGTATGGTCCATAGTTTTAACTGTGCTTCATTGAAAGCCCAGTATTGTACAGCACTGTTAATGTGTTGATTTGTAAGTTTGATCTAGTGTTACATAATGTTCAGTCTGTGAAATGAAAGCATAAGGAAACTTTCCTAGGTGGGTTCAGTTCTGTACATGGAGCATGGAGCAGAATTATGGCTACACATTCTTTTCATGATGCCATCCATTGTCCTGGAACAGCACAAGAAATTACTGTTACAGATGTCTCTGTTAGACAATTAAGGTAGAATCAAAGATCTGCAGGTTCTTTCCCTCATAAGAACATCACTGTTTTTACTGTATGCTGCCATACAATGTCTGACCTGTAAATGACTTACTATCTGAATGTAAACGGAGTAGTAGTATTCACAGAAAATAGTAATGGGGCTGTTGAAGACAAAAATGGTAAACAATGGCATAGAATCATGGAACAGAACATCCGCATTGCACTGAAATGTGTGATGTAGATGCAGCATCTGTTGTGACAGCAGGGGGACAGCTTTCAGACCCTCCTGGTTTGCTTGGAATGCTTGTGTGCTCATTAGTATGAAAAATGGGTGAGACACTTGTGTAATGTTCTTGAAATAGAACAGCATGGAAGGATCATACACACAGAACTTTACAGCCACCCAGGATGTTTAAGAAAGTTCTGCTATGTGCAGCAGCTCACTGGAGCAATATATTGGATTGCTTGTTAGTTTTGTAAAACTCACTCATTTATAGACACTCCTAAGGAGCATAAATTGATGCATTTCCTGAAAAGTAATTCTGTTTTTCTATACACAGTGATAGACCCCAAGCTAGGTATTTCCCCTGAAAAAATTAAAGCTGCTGTTGATACTGAGGTCAGTCAGTGCTGGCAGTACTGGTCAAACATGCAATCAGTCCTGGAAATTATTAGGAAAATAGAAAAAAAAAAAATGGATCATGATAATACATAAATTCAGAACGTGTCCAATCTAAATATAGTGTGGATTTTGTTTTCTTGTGCTTCTCTCACTCCATAAAAAGATAACACATACTTGAGCTAAGCTAGATATATAAAAAAGGCACCAGAAATAATAAGTTATGAAGCCATTTTTGTGGGAGGCAAAACTGAATAAGCTAGGACTTTTCAGTCTGTAAATTAGATGACTAAGTGAATCAGAAGTGATAAGGAAATGAATAAATTATTTAATCTTTGTCCTCATTTTATTTGATGTCATCTGGTTCTTACAGGTGATGAGTTAAGAGCAAATACAGGGAAGTGTAATATCACGCTAAGCACTAGAATTTAATTATTCATTCTGCTACAGGACATTGCAAATGCCAGAATTTTATTTGAATTCAAGAAGTGTTTGGTCAGACTGAAATAAAAATTAATTCTAGTGAGGTCTGTATAAATGTGAAGGTACTAGCTCTATTTCAAGATACCCCTAAGCAAAGGGTGTGTTAATGAAAAACTTTTCTTGCAGTCATCTTTTGGCATACTCCCAAGCTTCTTTAAAAATAGTTCACTGCATGAAGTATGTCTGTCCTTACGCTACAGCTTCTTAGCTTGGGCTGCTTAAATGAAGTCTTTCAGGCTGCAAAATAAATGGTGTGTTCAGAAGCACTGTATCACAGCCAGAAAGGCCTTTCAGAAAGTGGGAGGAGAAGCAATGGAATGAAAACCAAGCTGGTGGATTAGGTTCATTATGACTGAGATAGTGGATATAAGGTGACCAATGTAGAGCAAGCTCCAGTGTGTCTGCACTTAGTTAATACAAAGTCTGGATAATGTTTCCTCTGCTAATAAAATTACTCCTGTATCTAAGCCTACGTAATCACTTGAGCTATCTGTTTATTTCCATACTGTAGTCAAGAGTTGCTACCCTTTTGTCTGCCCATTCTGTTCTTCGCTACTCACACATTTAAGGCAGAATTACACAGCTGGAAATGGTACTGGGAGAACAGGGAAATTGTTTGGAAGGCTGTTAAATGATCTGAAGAGCTCTCCTTTAGGAGCCATTTACCTCTAATTATTTGTATCAGCTGACAGCAGTAACAGCTTGCTTTTGGAAGTTTCTCTTGTAAGCTCTAAAAGCCCTGAATTAGCTGCTGCATAGATGACTTAAACTTTGTAGTGCTGATCATAATTTCTGGCACTGTACTTGGCTTCTGAGTTTTTGATAAACAAGTGTTTATCAAAAAAAGGGTTTTTGATAAGCAGAGAGAAAATAAATTTTCATGCAGGAAAAATAAGTTTGAGAATATGGACTTAATTGTTCTTACTGGAACTGTAATTCAGGGGGCCTGTAAGGATACTGGGGAGGGATTCTTCATTAGCTACTGTAGTGATAAGACAAGAGGTAGTGGGTTAAAACTTAAACAGGGGAAGTTTAGATTGGATATAAGGAAGAAGTTCTTTACTGTAAGGGTGGTGAAGCACTGGAATGGGTTGCCCAAGGAAGTTGTGAACGATCCATCCCTGGTGGTGTTGAAGGCCAGATTGGACAGGGCCTTGGGTGACATGGTTTAGTGTGAGGTGTCCCTGGCCATGGCAGGGGAGTGGAACTATATGATCTTAAGGTCCTTTCCAACCCTAACTGTTCTATGATTCTGTTATCTTCTGATTTACTTGTGTAGGATGCTGAGGAGTTTCCTGATCTGGCAGCTGCCTCTGATAGAAGAAACAGGCTAGGATCTCAGAAATCATCATTTACTCCTGCTGTCAGGAAGCAGTCTGAAGTAAGTTCTCTTACAACATCATGTGAATGTTAAGAAAATAAGCAGTAAAAATCTACAAGTTTTGAGTGCGACTAAAGGTGGAATTCTTTTGCCTGGTATTTATGACTTGGGGCTCTGCACATTGCAGTCCTTTTAGATACCCTGTGGACAATGAAGAGCTAATCACTGTGTTACCTAGGTTCTTATCATACCAAAGGAGATACCTTTTTGGTCTCTGAACTGCTGCTAATTCCAGTAGAGACACTTCTAACTAACACCCAAAGTTAGTTGAGATTGTGTTTATGTAGGTTTTCTTCCTATAGGTAGTGTTCTAGTTTAATTTTACATGTCATAAAAATAATAACACATCACTTTTAATTTCTGTGTTTGCTCTTGGTTCATACAATCAAATTTCAAGGGCATCTGAATAGTGTTAACACTTTGTTCTCAAGTTGTGCAAGGTAAGAGTTTAAGTCTAATATCACTTATAAACCCAAGGTTTTTTCTTTGTTGTTTTTTTTTTTTTTACCATGGGTGAAATAAATCCCAAATATTAATTTGGGAATTCATTCAATATGGGAATGGATCCCAAGCTTAAATCACAAGATTAGAAATATTTATAAATATTATTGTTCTTGCAAAGTAAAACACATAAATACTAAATGTAAAATTCCAGGTTTCTGTTTCTTTGAAACTAGTTTTGCTGCTAGAAATGTTTGTCATTGGTTTTGTTTCATTATGAATATTAGTGGTTAAAAAAAAAAAAAACCACAAAGAAACCCTTTGTTTTCTTTGTTTGAGGCAGTAAATTACATTGATAGGGAGGAACGAGAAACAAAAATCAGATGGCTGCTCAAACCAGTTTTCTTACAAAATGCTATTCAGACTTGCACCTTAGATGATAGAAACCTTTTAGCTTTGTAAATATATGTAGGATATACGCTTTTATAAAGTTGTAAAGACATATTCAGTAAGACACTCACACTCTTCTGTAACAGGTATTTGAAGATGAAACTGCCTTACTGTTGTGGTTTTTTTTCCAAATCTGAAAAAGAAGAAGGAAATCACGAGTCTGTAGCATGGTAGCCAATAGAAGATCACACTTTTAGAAGATCACAGTGAGATGTTCCAAAGCCCTCCCCTGTTCAGATTGAAGAGCCTCAACTCTCAATGCCTTTTATGATAGGAGAGCTGTTCCATACAGCTTTTCCATCTCTTAGCCATTTTTGTGCCCCTCCTCTGGACCTGCTTTAGGATGTCCATGTCTTTGTTGTGCTGGGGCCCCCAGAACTGGACACAGGCCTTCGGCTGGGGACGCATAAGAGCAGAGAGTTAGAATCACTTTCCTGGATCTGCCGGCCACACTTCTCTTTATGCAGCCAGGATATGGTTGGCTTTCTGAGCTATGAGCGTATACTGCTGGCTTATGTTCAGTTTTCAAACTACCGGTACTTCCAAGTCCTTCTCTGCAGGGCTGCTCTCAGTCCCTTCAACCCCTACTCTGTACTGATGCTGGAGATTGCCCTAGTCCATGTCTAGGACCTTGTACTGAATTTCATGTGCTGAATTTCGTGGGCTTTGCACAGGCCCAGTGCTCAAGCCTGCCAGGGTCACTCTAGATGACATCCCTTTCCTTAAGTGTATCAGCTGTGCTACTAAGCTTGGTGTCATTCGCAAGCTTGCTGAGGGTACACTCAATGCTACTGTGTATGTTCCATTTGAATTTAGTATCACCTCTCTTTGCCCTTTTCCATGTGTTCTAAATAGTTTCTCTTCCTTATCACCTTTTGTCTCTGAATTTCAAAGATTCATCTGACAGAAGAGCCTTGGGATACTTGGTCTCCCACAGTAGATGGAGTTCCCAAAGTGGATGGGCTGTCAGGGAAGCAAGCTTCGTCTTCTGTATTAGAAAGAAAGAAAATGCAGGTAATTGAATTCATGTTTGAAAATAAATTTCAAAATGACAAAGGAAATTAACATGTTTTGACATAAGACTAAGTCCAAGCACATCTGTGATTGTATTCATACGTTGTCGTTCATACTTTGAGATGTGACAAGATCCTCTTTATTAGAAGCACTCGGTAATAGTAATTACTAGCTTTCAGTTTGTGATAGAGTGTTCAGGGAAAAATACTACATTTTCATTAATGTCTACTACTAATGTAGTTCCAGATATCAGGAATTTTTCTTTCACCTGTCTTATTTGATCATGGCAAAATCCACTCCTAAATGATTGTCTTAAGGAGTTGGGAACCTCTTAAAAGTGTTTCTAGTAGATTAAGACAAGGAGGCAAGGAGATCCACTTAGTTTGGGGCAAGGAGGAGTCATACAGAGCATCAGCAAGGTCAGTAAGTAGTTCCATGTTGGTGAGTAGGTTCTGCTGTAACTCCAATGCAAGGTGAGGTCCTAGCTCAGAAAGAGGAGGTCACATTCCTTAGCCCTATTGTAACAGAAGCTATAATGAGTTGATCTCCAGGATAAGACTTCTAGAAGTACAGAATCTGAGAGTCATTTACTTAGTATGTTCTGCCTTCATAGTTTGTTTTTTTTGTAGTCTATTCATTTGTAGTCTTTTTATATTCTGAATCATTAAATGTGGTGCCAAATGTGGAACACCACTTCTGCCTTCTCTTCAAAGCAGACAGAAAGATTACTGCTTATAAGGATGAGTGCATAAAGATGATGACACCTCTTCATAATAAGGCATTGAAGGTAATGATATATGTGAACTGCAGTGACATACCATGGAAGATTCACAAAGTAATTTTTCTGTACTTTTATTTTTCAATTCTGGTAAGCCTTTTCTTTTTCAAAGATAGGTGGCAGTCTGACCAAAGTGGGAACCCAACGTAAAGCACCTCCTTTGTTACTTTATGGTTTTACGTTTTGTTCAAGTAGCTATTCAAATTATTTGAGCTGTTTCTGATTATTTTTTTTTTATGTTTCACATTAAAATTTATGTGTATTTAAATATAAAGTACTTTCATTGTATTAAGTTAAAGATCAAAAGTATCATGGATGAAAATGTTAGGAGTGTATTGCACACTTTGCAAAATAACATTCCGGAATGGAGAGCATTACTAATTGGTTCTGAACTTGTTCAGGAAACATCCAGGAGCAGTGGAAAGAAGAGTCAAATTCCTGTGCAGTTGGATTTGGGTGGCATGCTGGCAGTCTTGGAGCAGAAGCAGCAAACAGAGAAGTCAAAACAGTCTTCTAAACCTGTGGTGTTTTCAGGTATTGGTTACAGTGAAATTTCATTTCTTTCCATTTGAGTTTAAGTATTCAAAAATTAAATGTAGCTGGGTTTCGGATCTGTAATGATATCTGAATATGCAGGCAGGAGCAGAGTTCACAAGAGACAAAAGAAAATGAAGGGTCTTTAAAAAAATATTTTTAAAGAATGGCAATTTGAATTGTTTGGAGGAAGACTTGGGGAAATAAAATCTTTTAGGAGAATGACTTGTAAAAAAGAACACCTTACATAAATGTGAAAGGTGATTGAAATTTGGCTTTGATAAAAATGCTTGTGTTTGTGGAAGATTTTGCTTTTTTCTTAAAAACAGGTTTGTGATCTGGACCTGCAGGAAGGGACTAAGCAGTAACAAAGGCTTTCTTATGCTCCTCTAAAATCTCTAAAATTCTTACGCTCCTCTAAAATCCTAGAGCTCCAACTTATGTGAAAAGCTCCTTTGCAAACAGAGGGGTTATATGAGTCAGCCCCAGCCAGAGGATGACTTGTGCCATGCCTGGTAATTATGGAATAATTAATTGCTAGTGCTAGGTTTTGGTGATGGAGAGATTTTCAGGCCATGCGGATGCAAAACTGGGAAGCAGAAACAAATAGCTCAGTGACCGTACTATAGGTCAAAATTTAGTGTCAGTTGTGTTCGTGCAGTATATTTTTGCAAAAAAGAAACAGTATTTGCTAGAATTTAGTGATAAATTTTCTCTCATTATTTGAGTAAAGTTTTTTTTTTTAATATTATTTCAGAAAGAGAGCTAATAATGAGAGAATTAATCTCACAGTATGGTAGCTGAGCTTGAAATAAAAAGCTTAAAATACGAAGCCTCAGTGAGTTTTCCTCCAGTAACTGAGAGAAATTATAAGATGCTTTTAAAAATACTTCTTCTGTAATTGATTTTTTTTGTTTTTTTCTTTTGAGTCAGCCAGACTCAGTACTGCAGAGGTGCTAATAGCCGGGTTTATTTCTGTAAAATTATACAGTATGTGAATTGGTGAGATAGTGGAGGAGAAAGTTATGGGTTGCAATACCTGTTTTCTAAGAGTAAATTGTGTCTTAAGCCTGTATCTTAATCTGGTATAGGAGAGAAATTGGTGTGTCATATTCATATCCTGGAAGTATAAAGTAGATGTTACCTCAGCTTTGCACTTGAACAGTCAGTGCACCCATTAAATTGGTGTCTACACAAAATTTAGCTTTAGTTTGAGAAGTGGCATTGTGCTGACCTTTGTAACCAGAAGAGCAGCACAGTGAACAAGAAGGGCAAGGAGTGTGCAGACAAAATTATTTTATTCTATTTACCAGATTTACTTAATCTGGGAAATAACGTATAGATGAAACAGCATAGTAATGTAGTAATTATTCTGATTTAAATTATGTTTTGGAAATGCATCGGTAGTGCAAACTGGCACAAACTCTTGAAGCCATCAAGTTCATGAAAATGAGAACTCTGAATTTGAAATGAATGAGGTGATGTACACAATGAAGGAAATATTATCTGTCTGCAAGATGTATACTTATGTACTGCTTTAAATCCAGCTTCAATTCTTGTAGCCACCTATGCTAATAATACTGCTCAGCATTCTTGGCAGTGTTCTCAATTTGCCTTTGTTACAGAGCCACAAAAGAAAAGCTGCAGTGTAGCAGTTTTATGAAGTAAACTGTTCATGCTAATAGTACTGTATGTGATGTTGGACAATCAGCATATAAATACCTTGAAAGCCGTAAATGAAGAGGGCTCAAGACAAGCTGACAGAAGCTTTGAGTGTTTTTTGGGGGAGAGAGGTGGTTTGACGCGCAAAGGTGTCAAGCTCATTCCACTGATACTTATCCTCTTCATTGACTTTCTAATGTAACCTGGTTTATATTTCAGGTAACTGAAGTTTGACAAAGTGCTTTCACAGGATACAGCAATTTCTATTGATAGCAGCTGAAAAGGGAGAATAGTTCAGGGTGTCAGGTCATGGTGTGGAAGGTCCAGGTTCAGCGACTTTGCCAGTCATTTAATGCTTCTGTGCTCTGAATCCTCTGAAAAATACATGTAAAGTAGACATCTCCTGAGACCTGTGCTGGTTAAGCAAAAGAGACATAGCTGTAGCTTTGAGTTACTCATTACCCATCTGCAAATGAACTTCATCCAACTTCATTAAGGTGTAACAAATGGTAGGAGTGTTACAGATTATTTACGTATTTATTTAAATCTGCAGTACTGCAGCTCAGTATTTATTTTAATGCAAAGCAGAATCTCTGCAGGATGCCATTGTCATAAAACATGAGATTTCTGAAGGTTTACCAGGCCACTTTGGCAGGGTGTTGAAGGTAGCTTGGAGTGCAGTGTTTTGCCAAATTCTGCTTTGGAGAGTTAATGACAGAGGATTGCCTATAAGAATTATTAATAACAACGCAACAAAAATTAAATATGTGTATACTAGTCCTAATCCTGTCATTAAACTTACATTGGATACTGGTTTAGGTATTTGTTGTTATCTGATGCAGACTTTTGTTTTTTGTATTTCAGTTGGTGGTGCCATACCATTGCTTTCTAAAGAACCTACTACAGCCACAAAAAGTCACCGATCAAGCCAAGGAAAGATGCCTCATAACCCTTTGGATTCCAGCGCTCCTTTGGTAAAGAAAGGGAAACAGAGAGAAGTCCCTAAAGCAAAGAGACCAACACCTCTTAAAAAGGTGCTCATATTTTTACCTTAAATAGTACAACATAGGCATTCAGTATTAATCTGTGAGTCTGTTAAACCTTCTGGAGTGAAGATCTGCATCTCAGCCTCTGCTTGTCTAAATTCTTTCCTTGGTTTAAAAAAAGGGGAGGGAAGAAGAGCAGCGTCTTGCTAAGTGGCATGTAAAATTTCTCCCAGAATATAATTTCTCACTTAAATCACTTGATAGCTGAAAAAGTGCCACTACAGAAGTGTGAACACATTGTTGGTACTGGGGGGGCATCCAAAGAAGCCTTACTTGGTTTGGAAAAGCTATGCTGATCTGCGGGACTAGGGAGAAAGGATCAAATACATAATTTAATATTTCTGTGCTCTTCCAAGCCAGAACTTCAGCTGATTCTGTAGCAACTAATATTAGATCCACCTTGAGATTTCTCTTGTATGTCCCCTCTTTGCCCATTCACATTGCTTCCTGTCATGTCTTCTATACAGAGGATTTTGAGATAACACTCCATTGCAGGGTTACTTTTTGATCTAGAACAACTCTTACACAGCTAGTGAAGGTAATTAAGTAGTCAGTCTTTGCTGCTTAATGGAATTTGAGAACTGCACAATATAAACAACGTATCACATGTAACAAAACTGTAGGGGGTGGTACTAATTACTGTGTCTTCTGGCTGTTCTATCTTCATGTAATCTATTTTTCAAAGTAGATTTGAGAAGACAAGGATTACTTTTTCTGTGTAATATCTGTGTTGTGACTGTGGGAGGACACTTATTTTTGTTCTTTGTTCATCTTTGACAAATGCAAATGGAGAAATTTACTTTCGCAATTAGGTTCTGTGATGTAATTACGAATTACGGGTAGACTGGCTGAGCTAGTGGTCATACATACAGTAACTGCTTCTTAGCAGATATAAAAGCAGAGAAGCAGGAAACTGATTATTGCTTTCACCTACAGTAATGTGTCTGGATCCAGCGTATGTCATACTTTCCTTCCTTCTGCATACCGTACAGCTTAGCTATCCAGGGTAATTTCTTCTCTTTTCTTCAACCAGCAAATGCAGAGACAGCAATTTATTAGTCTGACTCAAGGGAAATAAAGGGAAATAAATTACAAGGAAATAAAGGGGAAGAGGAGTTGTGCATATATACGTGTATGTATGTACCTGAGTGTTTGGCTGAACTGCCACAGATTGACAGTTTGAAGAATGATAAAGAGGAAGACTTTCACGTTCTTCTCTGCATTGAAGCAATTTGTTCCTCTAACTTTCAGTTCTGCCTTTCATCCATAGTAATGATTTTCTCCATCGAGACACTAATAATCAAGGAGGAGGTACTTTTCTGTTTACATCTAGGGAATATATTTCCTTCTTTCTATGTGCAGATTAAACCCCAAATGCTGTAAACTTTGACTGATAGTGCCAAGCCTCTTTATGAATGATTTGTATGTAAGGCTTGGTGAGAGAAACTACTGTGTTATCTGTGTGACATTGATTTGGGTTTTACATACGTATTTTTTTTTATTTTTATTTTTTTTTAGATTATTCTGAAAGAAAGAGAACAACGAAAACAGCAACACCTGTTAGTACAGACAGCAGTACCAAAAGAGGAAGATAATAGTATTTGTAAGTCTGCAGAAAATATTATTGAAGACAAAATGCTTCCACCGGATGGTCACGCAGGTATCTTTCAAAAGAAAGCTATAATACAGTATGTAGATGGAGATTTGATAGTCAGCACACTTAGTACTTTGACATATGTGTACCAAATATGCTTAAAAAGAGGTACAATAATAAAGTGAAGTTCAGCAAGATTCATGAAGTTCACAAGGCCAAGTTCAAGGTCCTGCACCTGGATTGGGGCAATCTGAGTGGAAACTGGATTGAGAGCAGCCCTGAGGAGAAGGACTTGGGAGTGTTGATTGACGATAAGCTCTGCATGATCCAACAGCATGAATGTGCTGCCCATAAAGCCAACCGTATGCTGGGTTACATCAAGAGGAGCAGGTTAAGGGAGGTGATTCTCCCACTCTACTCTGCTCCAGTGAGACCCCACCTGCAGCACTGCATTCAGCTCTTGGGCCCCAAACACAAGAAGGATGTAGCCCTGGAGGAGGCAACAGAGGTGATCAGATGGCTGGAGCACCTCTCCTGTGAAGAAAGGCTGAGAGAGCTGGGCTTGTTCAGCTGGGAGAAGAAAAGGCTCTGGGAGACTTTGTAACAGTCTTTCAATACCTGAAGGGGGCCTGCAAGAAATCTGGAGAGGGACTTTTTTACAAGGCCATGTAGTGACAGGGCAAAGGGAATGGTTTTAAGCTGAAAGAGGGTAAACTCAGATATTAGGTAAAAATTCCTCACTGTGAGGGTGGTAAGACACTGGAACAGCTTCCCAGAAAAGCTGTGGCTGCCCCATCCCTGGCAGTGTTCAGGGCCAGGTTGGATGGGGCTTGGAGCAACCTGCTTTAGTGGAAGGTATCCCTGCCTGTGGCAGGGGTTTGGAACTAGATAATCTTTAAGGTCCCTTCCAAGCCAAACCATTCTGTGATTAAAAAAACAAAAAAGAAATGTATGACCTGTTTCCCTGCTACCACAGAGTGCTGCAGTGCTGAAGTAATGACACTTCAAGATATACTTGACAAGTTTGTCTTTTCGCAATGCTTTCTTCATTTTTTCATTGAGAGATCTTTATTTACATGATAGCTGTTCCTGTAACACAAGTTGCCGAAGGGTTTCTTGAGAACACAGGGGTAGAGGAATCAACAAAACCTTCTATGACCTCAAAGCAGCCAACCTCCAATCTTCCAAAAATCCACAGCAGGAATTTCAGAGAGTAAGTATTGATTGTACTGATGTATTTCCATAGTATCACTGATAACGGCATTTTTGAAACAAGATAATATTCTGTGTAACAACACTTGGAGTTTAAACTGAAGGTTCTAATTTTTCTTTCAGTTTTCCTTTTTTTTTTTTTCTCACAGTTTTTCTTTATGCTGACACACAAACAGAGAAGTGTTATGCACAGATATAGTCTGTGCAGTTGTGCATGTTCCTTGAAGAAAAAAAGAGATAAATTCATTAGTGGCTAAGGAAGGAAAAGGAGGTGCTGTTAAAGTACCTTATTTTAAATAAATGGAGTACCAGCTTAGGATTTAAGAAAACGAGTAGTACACTTAATTTTAGGGTGTACTTCGGTTTTCTGCTACTCGACCAAATGACAAAAATGTAAGGAATGTAATCAGCCAGACATTTGCATGGTGTGGCTAGGCAGAGAAGTGAGGGGATGATTTACGGGTTATTATGCACAAACACTTTCAGTTTAGTTTAAACAGATGTGTATCCATGTTTCCTTATAGGAGAAATAGTCATTACTGTATGTGATGACTTAGGAGATCCAGTCATGACAGTTTAAAATAGTTAATTTAGGTTAAGCAGTTTGCTAACTTTTAATTTTTCTCCCATAAATGCACCACTGGGCTTTTTGCAGCTGGCGTTACAGTATCAGTTAGTATTGATGCACCCATTCTTTATCTTCTTAATGTCACGTGTTAGCTCTAATTTAACTTCTAACTGCATTTAAAATTACTTAAATCTGTGTCCATGCAACACTGTTTAACTAAAAGTACAGTTTGAGTTGAATATATACAGTGTAACTCTGTTCTGCCTATTACAGGATGTGGAGGATTCAGCAAAGCTTAGATTTTTTTGTATTTGGATTAGATTTCAGTGATTTAATAGATTTGTCTTTGAGACTTAGTGAAGTAAATCTGGAAATAGTAAATAAAAACTCAAAGTTTTGAGATAATTGCATCTCTTAAAATTTGGGACAGATTTTTTGGTCCCATGTCTCATAATCTTATGTGAACTTGCAACTTGGCATCTTTCTGTTGACTCTGCAGTTGAGATATCTTCAGGTTTTCTCTTTGAGATCCTTCTTTACTGAATGATTCTTTGTATAAAAGATTTGCCATAACATAGGATGACAGGCAAAAAAAAAAAAAAATGCTGGGGAGAAGGAATTTGATCCAAATTTCCATCTTTGCTATAGATAGTCTTGCATTTATATAAATTAGAATTCTGTACTTTGGTTGCTGTACTTCGATTGATACGGGTCAAAGTAAATGTCCTCAGAAAAATACTCCAATAGAAAAACATGTATATATGTATTTGTTCATATTTATATATATAATATATAAATACATTTATTGTACATGTGTGCATGTATTTTTCAGTATAGTTTGATAGGGGAGCCAGATACTGCAAGTAACATAACTTACTGGAAGTTCTTAGCCAGTGAAAAAAGTTGTATATAAGTTTTTGTTTTCATGTATATAGCAAGTATGTTTGGAGTGGAAATAGAACAAAAGCCAAAGACATAGAATAGAAGGTAAACTGTTTAAATTTTGCATACTTGTTACGTATTTCTGTTACATATTTGTAATTCTAGGGGGTTTAACATTCAGTTGGTTCTTTCTTCCAGTTATTGCAGCCAGGTACTTAGTAAAGAAGTTGACAGTTGTGTGACAGATCTCTTAAAAGAACTGGTTCGTTTCCAAGATCGCTTGTATCAGAAAGATCCAGTAAAGGCCAAGATAAAACGCAGGCTTGTTATGGGTCTTAGAGAAGTTTTGAAACACCTGAAGCTGAAAAAACTGAAGTGTGTCATCATCTCTCCTAACTGTGAAAAGATTCAGTCAAAGGGTAAATATGGTTGTTTAATAAAAGAAATGCAAAAAAGCAGACTCTGTATACTGGCAGTATCATTTTTGGATAGCCTTTGAAATCAGTCATATAAAACCGCCTTTCTTACGCAGATTGTTTACTGGTGTGCAGCTGAAGAATGAGCTAAATCGAGACTATCTGGGGTGGTGGAAGTTGCCTGAAACTAGGTTCTGGTTATTAATTTGCAGTGCAGCCACACAAAAGATTGCATTTGTACAGCTGAGAAGGGACTAACGTTACTGATGCCAGCTGTGCTGCCACAAGAAGTCCTGCTTTATCAGTCTCTCTCAGACTGACAATAAGTTGTCAGTAATACTCTGTGTAAATTCTGTGGTAATTATTGTCATTACTTTCTGTTAACTCTTAAACAATTTTGTAGCAACCAGCTCTTGCCTTTTACAAGAATACTGAATTAAACTACACATAGAACAAAATACAGAACACAGGTAGTCTAAAGATACTGCTGATTAAGAATTAAAAAGTAAAATTCTCCTTTTAAAATTCAGATCTTATGCTGTTATCCTTGTATTTTTTCTGTAAACTCTTAATTTCAAAATGCCCCATAATCTTAGGGTTTTGGTTGGTTGCTGTTTTTTTTTTGCTTTTGTATTTTTAACAGTACTGTCCTTTATTTACAATTAGCTTGAATATTGTCATTCTTTGCTGATTTTATTGTCTGCTCCAGGTGGGTTGGATGAGACTCTACACAATATTATTGACTGTGCCTGTGAACAGAATATCCCATTTGTTTTTGCCCTTAATCGCAAGGCTCTGGGCCGATGTCTGAACAAAGCAGTGCCTGTGAGTGTGGTGGGAATTTTTAGCTATGATGGGGCTCAGGTAAGCTGAAATATGTAGGTTCATAGTTTTGTTTAGCTTTACTTTTTACTTGTAGAGGGTGGGAAATACTGTGACTGTAAGGCTTTGTTTGATTATTTTGATATTGCACGCTTTATCCCAGTTGGTGTAGAAGCCGGTGGCTCATCTGAAAAAATGATTTTAGAAGTACAGACACTCAGTACAGTCCAGACAAGTAGTATGGACACCTATTCCTGATACCCACTCCTCTACCTACATGTTTGTTGTTTTTTCGGTTTTGTTTTCAAGAAAATGGGTGTTTTTATAAGTGCTTTTTCATATCTTTACATGTACTTGGCTGCTTTTATGTACAAACTTATATATGATCTATAAGGAGTATTCATTATAGATTTTCATGGAGATGATAAACTTACTATATGATTTAAGCTCTCCTAATATTTTGTATTTACATAGGACCATTTTCATAGAATGGTACAACTGACAACAGAGGCCAGGAAGGCCTACAAAGATATGATAGCAGCTTTAGAGCAAGAAGCTGAAGGAGGACCAACAGAAACTCAACCCAGCGTCTTAACCACTGAATATGAAAAAAATGGCTTATTAGAAACTGGGAAAACATCTTCCAGGGACTCCGATGAGGATGTACCAAATTATAGTGAGTATTTACTGACTTGGGTTTGATTATATTTTCATTCAAAGGGCTCTTCATTGTTACCATCTTAACTGAAACAAATGATACCTGTCACTTTAGCAGATAGTAGGGGTGGGAAATAATTATTATGATTTCCCCCTGCTGCCCCTAATTTTATAAAAGTCTGGGAGAAAATTGCTCTCTGAAATCCACTGATGGCAGGTGGTCCTCATTGCTTTGTCCAAAGATATTTAACAGAGTTCCTTATTATTTCTATTTCTAAAAAAATCCTCTAAGCTTTTTGCTAGAAATGCACACTCTGTAACTATGGCGGACTTAAGTTTTGTGTTGAAGCATGTTTGAAATGCATCTTCCTGTCTAAAAGCGTTCATGTGTTGTAAAGGCCTTCTACTTCCAGAATTACATTCCTGCAGCTCTGCTCAGTCACCAGGCAACAACAGTTGCCACTGATAATGGGCAACTTAAAACTTCTTTCAAAGTGTTGAAAACTTAGGAGGTCTTTTTTTGAAGTTGTATCCACCTTCAGAGTTAGCCTTGCTTGAGCAGGGGGCTGGACATAAAGATTTAAATGGATCCCATCACTCCTAAAGTATTCTTTCATGCATTATCTGATGTCACATGATGCATCATGCCAGAGTGCCAACTTATCTCAGCAGGTACGCTGAGAAGGAAGTAGAGAATTAATGTGATTTTTCATTTTAAGTATTTCCTCAAGTATTATACAGTAACCTGTTTATTTATTCTAATATTCCCTAGTTAAAATCTGGAGGAGAAAACTTGAAGAAGAGTATAACCCATATGCACTGGAACTGGAAGAGAGTGCAGCGGCTTCCGAATTCACTGTCACCGTGTCAGAACATCAGTAAATCCAGATCCAGCTCTATTGGGCTTTTAGTAATATTTTTTCAGACCCCTAAGAAGAGGGTAGTAAAATACAATAATCTAAGGAATACCTGAAGTCAGCTAAGGAAACTGTTCTGAGTCCCTCTAAGCAAAATAGGCACTGGAGCAAATGAGGCACTGGTTAATGCTTTTATGTTCTGTGTGTTTGGTTGATCACTATAGGAGCTGATAACAGCAAATTGTCTTACCCCCAAACAGCTTGGAGTGGATTTATAGACTATCACTGTTTTGTTAGTGATACAACATAGGAAAAGATCTTGCTAGAAGAGTAATTTTATTTGGGAAGAGATATCATGAGCCAGAAGGTTAGGACTTGGGATTTGCTTTTTGTAACTCTTTCTTAAAGAACTTCACCTGGGTTTTGTTGGTAGGTTTGCTTTGGTTGTTTGTTTTTTTTTTTCTTTCTTCTTCTGAAGAAACCTGCTCAGATGGGCAGGCTGGCATCAGTGTCACTGTCCTCCAGTCAGCAAGCAATGTATTCTGGGTAGACAGTTTGTTTGTTTGAAGCTAATTAAGGAAGAACATCATGACAAAGTTCCCAAGTCAGCTCTTCTTTGTGGTATATTTGTTCTTCTGGGATCATACAGTAGGTATAAGGGAGAGTATAAAATACAAAGGTCTGAAATGCCTGCAGTGAAAATATTCTCTTTAGAAATTTATGAAGTTGATTTTGCTACTGGGACTAGTTTGTCATAGGTCCTGCTTTGAAGTTATAGGCTGTTTTCTGAAGAACAGCATATGTGCCAGCCTGCCATCCTATCTGTATCTTCTCCATGCTGACAGACTCCTAATTCCTCCAATTTGGGGTTGTGTTGGTACATACATGAAAAAGTTTTTTATCAATATCCGATTGTATCTAAGGTGGGGAAAATGTCTATCTTAAAAAACTAAATGTGCTCATAATGGTGGTGGAGCACCTTAGTGGGGATGTCCTATATAAATACCAGTGTTTACAAGTTGCAGATACAAGAGAACAAAGAAAGAAACAGGAGCCTAAAGAAAGTAATGAAGGATGCAACTTGGCAGTTGTAGCCAGTGTTCTGTAACTTGGCAGTTGTTCAGAAAGATGATAGAGATGCCATGTGCTGCTGCCAGCAGCTCTGAAGTGTGTCTAAGTAAGTTCTTCACATATGGAACATGTGTAGTGCAATAATTTGGAAAGTAGCTGCCTTGTGAAGTTAGAAGTGGCATAAAAACTTTGAATAATTTTGAAGTTCAAACCATTTTGTAGAATGTAAGTTGTATTAAATCTGTTACAATATATTGATTCTATAAAGTATGGTTGTGACTTAATTGAAATCTTCTGATGGGCATTTAATGATACTTGAAATGTCAGGTTTGGGGAGGAATGATAGCAAGGGAAGTCACCCTTAAGCTGCAGTGCACAGCTGATCACTGGTTATGATGATGATCTTTTTGTATTAGTTTCTTCTAATTTTAAATGGAAATTGAGAGTGAAACATCCCAGTGATGAAAGATGGTTTTGGCCAGCAGCTGTTGATCCAGAGGTAAGTTGTGATTTACTCGTACCACTTTGATACACATCTAAAACATTGAAACAACTAAGTCACTGCATGGAATGGTGGCCTATTCACGTTAACAGCTCATTTTTCCTTTTTCTTTCTTTTTGTATTTCCTGTTCTCTTCCTGTAGAAGAGCATGAAAAATTACTTCGGAAATTCAAAATCACACAGAGTTATTTCTTGCTTTTAGAGCGTAGCAAAATTTTTACTGCTTGCAGTACTTCACTGCAGAGACAAGGCAGAATACAGCCATACTCATCTAAAACTCTGACCTCAATCTTACAAAGCATTACCTTCCCACTTAGGACCAATGAACTAAACTTTAGCCTGCTTGAAATCTGTGGAACACAAAAGGAGGGACAATGCAAGAAAAATCTTTTATAGTTGTCCCTGAGCCATAAAAGATGGCAGAAGAGAAACACAATGTGGGGGAGAGATTCCCTCTGAGTGCTGTCAGAAGTCTGCATCAATTTATGATTACCAATGTAAAAAATAGTGAAAATGGTTCACGTATACAAATTTTCACCCTGCATGTGTTTGGTGTGTGGTCTGATATTGTGGGTAGAGGGTATCATTCAGTTAAAGTCTTAAACTGAGGAAAATGTTTTCTTCATTGTGGGAAACAACCTAAGTTAAATCTTGCCTGTTATAGGATAGTCTAGGGAGAAATATAATGCTTTCTGCTATTGCTAGGAGCAGCTGTCTCCATGGGCTCCAGCTATAGTGATTCTTAGATGGCATTTTACTTGTTTCCAGATTGCTGAAAACCACTGAGGAGATGACAAGACAGAAAACTTGAATAATGCCTTAGACATTTCTTTATTAGATGCAGAAGGACAGAACATCAAACAGCAGTGCAGGAAAACAGTTCCACTGTGGATTAAGTAGGCCCTCACATTTTCATTCTGCAGTTGTTCACTAGGAATAGTCTTAGTATTCATTCAGCATTTTTAATTTGGGTGCTCTGTAATTTCTATATTTCAAGCATTAGTCAGAACTTCTTTATTTGGTACAGAAACTTTATTACCAGAAGAAATGTGTTAGAACAAATTAACTTGCTGACATCTGAAAAGAATGCTCTTCAAAAGACTGGTAAAAGAGCATAAGGGTAAACATGTTAAAAGAAAGCAAGTAGCCAAGTTAAAGTGCCTTTAAATAAAGGTGATCCACATCTTATTATTAATCTGTAAATCATCTGCCAAGATCCTCAAGCCCAAAATTAACTGGCTTGCTTAATGAACTCAAAACAGAAGCCATACCTCATATTATATTGTTTCAGCAGCACAGCTTTTACTGCGATCACTTTTGTTCTTCATTAACCTGAAATAACTGGCTTTAGAAAACCAAAGATAGTTCCAGCATGAGAGAGTGGCACCTCTTCTGGCACATAACTTAGTTATTCTTTGGTGCAGTAAAGATACCCTCTTGAACCTCAAGCTTCAGGTGATCTTCCTGAATAGCCATTTTAATACCAGCATTACAAAGTAAGTCTTTGAAAGCTGTGATATTAAGAGTGCTGGCTGTGCTTAACTTGCATGCATTTCTCCTTCTAGCCTGTTTGTTCCTTTGTGCATTAGAGGCTGTTTTTCTTGTTGCAGCTCTCCTGAAGAAGAAAGAAGTTCAGAATGATGTGTTAATACTGCTTTGAAAGTTAACATAGGGTTTAAGGGTTGCCTGTACTAACTGTTCCACCTGCAGCAAACAGAAGGGATCAGAAGTAATCTTTTGATTATCAGTTTATGATCTGTTCTAACTGCTGGTGAAAAATATTAGAAGCTAGCTCTGGACTATTGTTCGTTAAAGGAAGGCCAGTGTTGATGGACAGTACTGTTTATGAAGTCCAGTAGTCTCTGCAATCCAGTTAGTGTACAGATGTGCTGAAATTAATCTACTATTTCCATATACACAGACTTAACTGTTTCAGGCAGGATAAGGATAAATGACTGGTTAGTAGACTGAAGGAGCAAGCTGTCATAACTGTAATAGATGTCACAAATCAAGCAAACTTTACTGCTGAGAGGGTCAAGAATGATGACACATACAGGAACACTGATCACTGTTACATAAATACATAGAAGCATCATAAACTATCTATAAAATTGGGACTGTAGTGTGCCATGTAGAAAGCACTGTAGGAAATTTCTGGAAATTCTTACCCATGTTTTTCTCCAGCTTCGCATCATCTTGTCATGTTCACTGATGGCACTTCTCCAGGTATGGAATTCTTTGGTCCATCCATCCTGACCAGCACTATCTGAGAATTGTACATGGGGATGAAATAAGTGGATGGTATCTGTTCAGTTGTAATACTTCCTGTGGAGGATTGGGAAAGAAGGAACGGAAGCCACCATTTTGTCCTTCATTTTGTTCTACCTCTTCTCATGATATTTGGAAGTAAGGTCTGTAGAAATGGTCATGGCTTTTCCCCTCTGCAGCAAACTTTATAGCCTCCAGAGTAAACAGATTCAGTGCCTTTAACCTGTAATCCAAAATATCTAAAAACTACAACCTGCAAGCTAGGGTTTAGACCCATCTAAGCAGCTCAGGAATGCTGCAGTAAGATCATACCACACCTGGGGAGAAGAATGATGTGATTCAGCTGTCCATGTGCAGTTTGTAGTTTCTTAATTTTTTTGGTAATGTTATGTAGTTATTCTTTAATCCACTGAGGACTTAAGGGCTGTTTGCTGCATCTTGGTAAAATTCTAATTCAGATTCTATCTGCCAGTTTTCCTTGCAGAATGTAACACGGGTAGCAACATACACAGATGTAGTATTTTCTGTTTATCCTTCAGGACACAAGCATCAATATACAGTACTTCTGGAGCACACTGAAAGCCTCCCTCTGCTTTACATTTACAGTTGTTTCATTGAGATGACCTTCATTCTGCTACCAAGACAGACTTCAAAGTAACTGGAGTGATGGCGAGACAACTGTGTAACTCCTACTGCTTTTCTCCATCACTGAAAAAAGAAGAGTTGAGCCGTTCCTGACAAGTTCATGTTCACTAACCAGCTAATTATTTTTAGCTTCACCCTACCCTGCCAACTTCATCACTCCTGCTCTCTTTCTAAACACTGTTCAGACCTCCTTCAGGCCTGGATAAGTTCTCAAAAGCTAGTTGCTAATGTTGCTGGAGTTGCACTGGTCAGTTGTGGATACCTGAAGATTTTGCAGAGCTGCTGAAGTTAGCTCTGACCTCCTGCCTTGGTAGTGTCCAAAGCAAGCAGTAGGAACTGACCTCACCCAACTGCACGTGGTTTGCTGATAATGTGAGTTTTTTAACATCCTGGGTTGCAATTTGGGGGTTTCTCTTTGCCATCTGACTTCCTTGGCATCAAAGAGTTTTTCTGCTTTCTCCCCAGAGTGCCTGTTTTTAACACTCTAGTTTAAAAAAAAAAAAATATAATCTGTCTTCTAATTTGTGTCCATTAGTTTAGCAGTTTCATTTCTAGAATGTAACTGTTAATGGGCAGGTCAGTCCTTTGTACAAGGAACTTCGGTGGCTCTAAAACCTTTTCATAAACAATTAAAGCAGGCATATTAAGTAAGAGTTACCATCTTCAGATACACAGGTTTTATGGGTGAAAATTACAGAGCTCTGTTCATGCCAGGGCCAGGCCAAACATTACATTCGAAACCAGCCTACCTTTATCTTCTACTGTGATGAGCACTTCTGATGTTGTATTCCCAGCTTCTGAGACAAATGAACATTTATATTCTGTATTTTCTGATACTGAATCTTTCACCCAACTCAGGACATGCACTCTGCCATCAAACAGCATATGAGATTGCTCAGTGACGCACGCCTTCATCTTCTGTCCATTCTTCTTCCAGACAAAATAGGAACCATCCGGACCTGTAAAAATGTCAGCATATTTTGTAAGAAAATACAAGTCTTTGAAAAGAAAACAAAACCACAAGACCTCAAAATTAGACTCAAAAGGATAGCTGATTGTAATACTTCATAGGCTTCTTCAGCTGAAATTCTAAAGTAAATTGGGATAAAGTGGAGCTAGCCTTGGTAATTTATGTTAAAGCCCAAGTTTTAAATGAATTCATGTCTATAAATTCCATCTGGATTCCCATGAGGGGGAATGTGCTCCACAAACATGATAAATGCTGATGATGAACAGCAGCAGCATCTACCTGCCTGTACGATTTCCTTTGGAGCTAGGCCACATAACCTAGTGCTGATCAAGCTAGCTTCTGGTACAAAGCATCTGAGACATGCCTTGCAAAATCTGAACTAAAGGCCAGGAGGGGAAAAAGTTCAGGAACTCAGCGTGTCAAAGATGCTGGAACTAATAATGAAAGAAGCAGAATTGGAAGAAGCACAGGACCATTAGTCACAGTAGGCAATTAGGCAAGACAGAACTTGGAAGAAGCTTGGATCAACAACAAAGAGCAATCCAATCTTTTATCTTTGTTGCTGTTATTCGTTTTAACCTGTGAGGACTGAATCTGAGTAAGTCAGAGACTGACAGTAGCCCAGAGGACAGAACAGCTGCTCCCAGAAAACCAGCAAGGCTGGCTGAAGTGTATTTGGCAGTATCTAGGCCTTCTCCTTTGAAAGGAGACCTCTGAGCCAAGCTTAGAACTTCGAAGTGATTCCGGTATGTAAAACATGCCTGTTTCTCCCTCCAGCCTACCCTTAGCAAGAGAAGATGTAAAGAGAAATCTGGCATAAAAAAAAAAAAAACAACGAACTATTTTTGCAAGTATGTCTTGACAGAACAGGTAACCTATTAGGTCAGCTTCTACTGTGAGCATTTCAGATTGCAAACTGATGTGGCATTTTTCTCTAGATGATCTGATTCTAGGTTAGTGCCCTGAGATCTAAGTAAATTTAGATGTTAAAGAAGTATTCTTTGCATCTGGCACTTTCTCAGGATATCGTGTTAAATTCTTAAGTCATTTGGAAATAAAACTAATATACTACAAATATGGAGACATAAGTTAGTAGTGATAGTAAGGCTGAATGACAGAGAACCTCATCAAGTGAAAGCCTGGTAGAGTTTATCTCTGAAGGAGAGGGAGGGAAATGGCAGAATCTCAAGAGGGACTGGCAACAGTGCCGACAAAGTGGAGATGGCAAGCATATGCTGAACTGAAAACAGCCTGGCACACACTCATTATGAAAATACAGTGGTCTACGGGTGACTGTGCTTGTTCTACAATTAAGAGTAGATAGGTTACATGTAAAAATCACAGGAAGTCTGGAACCAAGGACAAATTTCAGTAAAAAAGTGGTGAAGTTGTAGTTTGGACAAAGCAGAATAGTAAATAAATACAGGCACAGCAGAAAGAAAACAACAACAAAAAGGTCTTGAAGAGCAGAAACCTACATTCAAAAAACAGTCTGGATTATAATTTCTAAAAGTTGCCACAATCTGTCACGGCATTCATGCAGAAATAAAATGAAGCAATAGTATTTGCAGAGGGCAAGCTGGCTTGGAGAAGTTAAGACCAACTTCACAACAGTGAAGATCAGTAAAAAGAGGGAATGCCACATATGGCACAAGCCACAGGGATGAGCTTTTCCAAGCTCAGAGAGTTACTACTCTAGCACTGCAAAGCTAAAAGCCAGGTGCTTGAGTAAAGCTGTAAACTCACAAGCTTTATTTGCATGAGACATGGGAACAGGACCTTTACCTAAATCCACCAACTTGAAAAAACGCTGTTTTGGGACCATGTGAGGAAGGGGCATGTTCTGTGCAGGACTCTTCCTAAGCTGCCTTCAAGTGTTCACATCAGAGAAGCTGCGCTGTTTGCTGGTGCTAATGATCAGAGTTGTTCCAGAAATCTGTCAAAGGCTGTGCTTAGACACACATTTCACTAAAGGACTAAAATCCAACCATTTCCCAATGTGGAGAATTCTGCAAGCTGTGTTGCTTCAGGTCAGCCACTTAAGAATTGAGCAATTTTACCCTCCCTATCTTTTCTATGTGGAAATCCCCACAGATACACTCATCCCCATCTAACATATGATACAAGTCAGTCAACAACAAAATCGAAGTTCAAGCATTAGTCAGGGGTTTTACTGATCATATTTCTGGTTTCAGGCACTGTGCTGTTACTTTCTCTACTTCAACTTCCTCTTCAGGATTAGGCAATAGAAACATTATTTAGGCAATAGAGCTTTATCTGCAAAAGCTCTGAATCACAGCTGTTAAATGCAAGTATTTCCTACAACTCCAGAGGGATAAATTCAGACTCTGCTGTAATAGGGAAGTATTCTTTTTAAGATTAAGGAGTAAATACGAACATATACTCCACATTTGCTGCCCTTGCTGTAGTACCAATTAATTATGTGTCTAGTGCAAACTTCAGAATATAAAATTTATGATCTACTTACTTTGCCATCCATTTTAAGAATGCTTGAAAGATTGAAAAAGGTCATCTGATTAAAACAGTACATTCAAGCAGAGAAACAGCACATCCGTTCAGATATGTACATAGCTATGTTTAAGCAACAGTGAAAGATACTATAAACAGTTTTGAAAGCATTGCTTCAATCTCAGAAATACAGTATTAATTATCAACTTGCACATCAACAATTTTAGAAGGAGAAAGGTTAACAGTTACCAAACAAAAAGGAAAAAGGCTTGATGCATTGTCTGAACTACCCCTCTTCTCTGCATGAGCCCTTTGTGATTTCCAGTGTCTGTGAAAGTGTTTGCTGCTTTTCTGGACAGATTTCATTTTCTCTACCTCTGCTTTCAGCACTTGGAGTGAAATGGCACTGCCCAGGTACCGTATGGGTAGTTTCTGCTTGCAAAATAGGCTCTCTGACCTACGTCAGGTCAGGCAGGTTTGCACAAACCATGCATTTAGTACCCAGATTATTCTGCCACAAGATTTTCCACAAGAAGAAACCTCAGCAGCCATAGACAGCATTAGAAACCTGAACCACTGCAGCTGCTTGTAAACTTTTATCCACAGTCTTAACTGCATTCACCGAATTGTTGCTGCAAACTTGATCTTAAGGTTAAAATAATAAGTAACACCAGATACAAAGAATTTTAAGGGAACAGCCACAGATTCAGAGCAGCATGCTGGGCCGCCCTGATCAACTGTGCCAAATTAAGCATTTGCCATGTATGCATCGAATCCTAATAGACATATGGCTTGCAAGAAAGCTTGGAGGTACTAATTTGAAAGCAAGAGATTATGGATTAAGTAGTGATCACTGACATAAGCGGGGGGGGGGGGGGGTTGGGGGAGGGGTATGTGCAAGAAGGAGTACTGGCTAAGGCAGCTCCTGCTGTATGCTGCGACTTGCAGAACTGTATAGGCATTTCAAGAGCCACCCAATGAAGCTGTACCATGAAACACTCAGAAGTGCTGTCCCCATTGCTGTTGGCTTAGCATAGTTTTACCTCATTACCAACATACTTCTTGGAGGGTGACATTAAAACAAGGCTTCCCTATAAATTATTCAGAGAAACACTTCAAGATAGGAGGAGGTAAGTTGGGTGAAAAAAAGCAGGAGCTGTCAGCAAGCCTAAACCTCTTAAAGCTTTCCCCAGCAAAACTAATCTCTGAAACCTGACAGCGAACTGAAATCCAGTGAAGATAACCGGCAGGTATCCCACAGAGGAATCCTGGCAGGGCAACAAGATGTCCACACGAATGCCTCCGATCTAGACAAAGAACTGCTACCAGAGGCTATCCCCAGTGACAGGAAGTTTAGGTTCATTCCCCCAGTACACACCAAAACCCCTTCCAAAGCTCAAAACGTGCAGCAGATAAAAAATAATCTTAAAAAGGGGAGGTCTGGATTTAATGCTTGCTGTCTTAACTTGCAGCTTTGGCTCGTACCAAATGCTACTGAACTAAACATCCGAGATGTCAGAAAACCAGTCATACAGGAAAGCTGTCATCCAGAGCAGGGATTAAATTTTAAACAGACACTATAATCTGGGTGCATAAAGATCATTTTAAATCAGAGATCAGAGTTGGCACAGAAGGTCAGTCAATCATTAACACTGAAAACAGCCACCAGCACTACTCCACAGAGGGCTGACAGTTGTATTTAATGCTGGTCACAGTTTCTTAAGTTGTAGGAGTCAGCTACTGCTGCTGACATGCTAGCAGAATAATAAATAGTACATGAAGCCATCAGGAGGGAAACAGATTGGAAAAGTGGGGAGGGAAAGAAGGAAAGAGTTTTTAAATTAGACAAGCATCACTGCAGTTTTCTGAAGACAGTGTACAAGGTTGGTAGGCTGCATCTCATCACTGGGGGTTTTGCGGTTGGCTGGTTTGGTTCTCTTAAATAGGGGCAATACTTCTTAAAAAACAAACTAGGAATAGGTTGACAGCAATGAAAAAGGAAAATCCCAGGAAAACAGACCTCTCTGAAATGATAACTAAGAATATTACTTCAAGCACCAAATATTTCATACTGAGGAATCCACGATGACATGCTCCTTCAAAAACCTGGTGCTTTTGTCAGTTACTAACCCATTGGTGTAACACCACCACAAGCTGATGTGGCCTTATCAAGGCAGATTAAAAGCAGGAAGTGTTTCCTGTGAATCACAGAAGCTGGGGGAAGCTGCCTGTCACCAGAGGAGGTGAGGCACAGTGCATGGAGATGAAGGTAGGACACCACATCTGCCTTCTCAGGGTGCAATGCAAAAGGAGGTTGGGAAAATAGCTCCTGGCTGTGAGATGAAAATGTGATCCATAATTGTCTATGCTCCCAGTGATGAACAGCATTTATTCATATATTCTCCGAGTGGGCCCAAGGCCCAAAAAAGGGTTTGCAGCATGAACCCATATAATTGTCTTTACAGAACAGTTAAACAAAGCACTAGCATCTAGAATTAGGACCGGCAGAAAAAACATCAG